CCCTTGGGTTTCGATGGTTTTGCCGCAAAAAGCGCGGCGCTCCCGCGCCAAAATCACTGGGCGCCCCGGAGTTTCAGGGCTGGGCTTCTCGTGGAAGGTTTCTTGCGGTCGGGCCCCCAGCGTAAGTTCCAGCGCCGTTCGGGAAGGACTCTTCCCAGTCGAGCCCCTAGACGCGACGGCGGGGCGGGCCGGTCGCCCGCCTCGAGACGCCCCCCCCGCGCGCGGCCCTGAGTTTGAAATTCGCGACGGTTCGGCGGATGGAAGGCGGGCGGTGTTCAGTATGCGGTTCTCGTCTGGGCGCTGCGCGCGCACTCATCTGGACAGCGCGCGAGATGTCCGCGGATGGAGAGCGGGCCGTTTTCACTGCGTGGCTCTCGCCTTTAGCGCAGAGCAAACTGTGTGATAACCAATCGCAACTACTTCGCGGATGGAAAGCGAGTCAAATTTTGGCCCGCGCAAGCCCCCGGCAGCGCGTCACCGGCAATGCCCGGTGCCCAATCTGCGCGGAGCAACAAACTATGTTGTGCAATGTATGGTGCGCCTTATATGTGGTTCTATCAATCTGCGCGGTTCAATCAATGCAGCTCCATTGGTTTTCTAGATTTGTGGACTTGTCAATTCCACTGCTCGCGCAACCACCCCGCCCGCCCACCTGCAATTTCGGCCGTGGAACCCATGCAGCGGCGACTGCGCGCAAGCTGCCGCAAGCTCGCGCGCGAAGCGGCCAACTAGTCCGGCGCGACAGACGCGGCCGCGGCTGCGCTCGCCTGCGGGCCCCCCCCGACGCGTCTCGTAGGCCGCGCTGGCGCGCGGGCGCTTCAGCGCGAGCCGCCGACTCGGACTGGCGTGATGCCGTGGCAACGCCGACAACAACAGGCACGATGATGATGGTAGCGACGAGGGGTGGCGATGACGACGACGACGGAGGCGACGCCAATGAGGGCACCGATGCTGATCACGCTGGTGACGATGATGGCGCCCACGTGTCGGTGACGACGGTTTGGGGGGCATTTCGACGCGCGCGCTCGACCGACGGGCGCGGGCGCCCCGCCTTGCGTCATTCGACGGGGATCGCGCCCCTCCCCCCCACCCCCTCAAGCAAGCGCGCAACGGCGTTCGGATGTTTTCGACACGCGCGCGCGACAGGCCAGTTTTGCCGCAATCAACGCACGCGGCGCTCGTGGTAAATCGCAATAGCACGCGAATCCATTTGAGGCCTCACGTTGCAAAGCCGCTGGTTGTTATCATGCGTGCCCAGAGAAACGGACCTTGAAATCTCTGCGACACCTACGATTTGGTTGGGGGACTTCCTGCACGCGCGAGCCACGACACGCGCGCGTCGACTTCGCGTCGCATGCGCGCAAAGGGCCACTGAAAACAATGTTTCTCTCAACTGGCAAACTGGCGATGGCGTGAAATAGATTGTCAGGGGTGGACGGGGCGATGACGGCAGTCCTCGGGGCGGCGTGGCTTCATGTTTGAAATGAGCGATGAGGCAACCTCCTATAACAGTTATATGATGCCCCGGGGGCGATGAAGCCAGGGAGGTGTGGATCCGAATTTCTGTTGAAAACAAAGAACTTATGCTGTGCAGCCGGGGTTGAGGAAGCATTGCTGCGCCATCAGCGCTGCGCAATCTATGTGGCGCGGTGCACGCAAAATTATGTTCAAAAGCTTGGGGTCGCCAAATCCACTGCTCGCGCAATCGCCCCCCCAGCCAACCGGCAACTTGGTTTGCAAAACCTATGCCGCGGCAGTTGCGATGACTGCTTGGCGCTCGCTGGCGCATCGCTGCGGGCGCGCGCAACGGCAAACTAGTCCGGCGCGACCGACGCGACCGCGGTGGCGCGGGCCGCTGAGGGTATCTCAGCGCGTCTCGCAGGCCGCGCTGGCGCGCGGGCACTTCAAAGCGAGTTGCCGGGTCGGGCGGGCGCGGTGTCATGAAAATGTCTACAACGGCAGAGACGTGAAAATAGTAACGAAGTCGGTAACGATGGTGACGACGCCGACGGCGAGGCCAATGGCGCCCCCGATGCTGGTCACGCCAATGACGATTATTTGTGTTGCGTGTCGGTCACGACGGTTTTGGGAGGATTTCGACATGCGCGCTCGACCGACGGGCGCGGGCGCACCGCATGGTATTATTTACCAGGGAGTGTACCAGCTCCAGCGTTTGCGAAACTGTCAAATGTCTTCGGTATGGGCGAACGAAAAATGCGAATTTGGTAGCAAGTGGTCCACATGTTCAGTAACCTGGTGCGGTTTCGCAAAGACTCGCAACAACACGCGCGTGCATACCTCTGTTGTTGGAAAGACCTGGTTGCAAAACCATTGGTTTTCATATGTGTTCGGGGGACTCAACCTTGAAATCCGTACGGCACCTACGGTTTTGAAAGATTCACGCATGCACTCTCGACGCCGCGCGCGGGTCGATCTTGCTCTGTTTGTTGCAACAGACTAGTTGGAACTGCTGCGTTTTGATAAACGCGTTAGCGCGTATATCATTATGTCAGGAGTGAGGGAAAGGAGTTGGTAAGGGCACTCCGTGGGATGGTATGGACTCGTTCTTGATATGAACGATGGGGCACAACCGCATGGATCTTGCACGATCACAACAAGCAGCGCGAATACTGGAATAGGAATCCTAAATTTGGATCTGGGAAAATTTACGTGGTGCAACATATGCGGTGCAATCTACGTTGTGCAATTTCGGCGGTGAGGAGGCGGCGACGGCGACAACATAACGGCCAGACCGACAATCAGGCCCAGAGGACGGGCGGCGACGAGGCGGCGGCGGCCATAACATAGCCGCCAGACCGACACAACCCCCCCCCCAGACGACGGGCGGCGACGAGGCGGCGACGGCGACAACACATAACCGCCAGTCCGGCCCCCCCAGTTCCTCAGGAGAGGCATGAGAAACCCTACGGCAGGTTCGTGTCGTGCCGACCCCAGCGTTGGTTTTTGACACCGCAGGGATCGTTCAACCTTGAACGATCGGGGAAATGCCCGACTGAAAAATAGCCTCGAGCCACCCCCCAGGCCCTGACCCTGAGACCCCATGACGTCCATAGATTTTTGCTGAGGGAGCGTCGCGCGTTCCACAGCAAAACAATCGAGGCAAGCAGAGTGTTGTTTAGCATGGGTTTCCACAGTAGGCCGCACGACCATCAGCCAGCTTGATCCAGGGAGGAAGACAGCCTCTCCACCCGGATGAAGCAGCGAGCATCGAGCCCCCCCCCCCCAGGCTGGCTCCCCAGTGAAAGGGATGGTTCCCTGGTGGAGGCCTGTTAGTAGGAGCCACGCAAAGCCGCTTAGAAGCCTCGCAGAGGCCTCTTAGGAGCGCAGAGGTCTAGTAGGAGCCTCGCAGGGGTCTCTTAGGAGCGTCGCAGAGGTCTCTTGGGAGCCTCGCAGAGGCCTCCGAGGTTAGAAGCCTCGCAGAGGCCTTTCATGAGCGTCGCAGAGGCTTCTTAGGAGCCTCGCAAAGGCTTCTCAGGAGCCTCGCAGAGGACTCTTGGGAGCGTCGCAGAGTCTTCTTAGGAGCCTCGCAGAGGCCTCTCAGGAGCGTCGCATAGGCTTCTTAGGAGCCTCGCAAAGGCTTCTCAGGAGCCTCTGCGAGGCTCCTCAGGAGCGTCGCAGAGGCCTATGAGGAGCAAGTGCAGGGCTCCTCACGCTGGAGAAATTCCACCGGGGAACTCTTTCCAACTTCTACGGGGGAACCATCCGTTTCACCGGGGAAGCAACCCTTTCACCGGGGAGCAACATTTTCACGGCCCCGACCCCTTGGCCCCCAGCCCCCCCGCCCAGCGCGATCGCGCCCTTGGATCCCCGCGCAGGAGAACGCGGTCGCCTGCCCCCGGCCCCCGACGGCAGAGCGGGGGGAAGACGGCAGGCGTGGCCCAACATAGAAGGCAAAAAATCCACCCCATAAGAACCACACCGACAAGCGAGGCCGTTTCGTAAACGCACCCAAAGAAGGAATCGAACAGGACAGGGCTGTTTAGGAAACGCCCAGGGCCGTTCAGTAAACGCCAAGTATAGCGTCCGGGTGTTTTTTCTTCCTTTGGTAACAGGAGAGGATGCGAGGGGGGGAAGGGGCAGGGTCTGATCGGGTCGGGCGAAGGCGAAGGCGGGGGGAGGAAGCAGAGGTGTGTGTGTGTGTGTGTGTGCGTGTTGTGGGTTGTGTGTCGTGTGTTGTGTGTTGTGTGTTGTGTGCGTGTTGTGTGTGTGTGTGTTGTGTATGCGTGTGCGTGCGTGCGTGTGTGTATAGCGCGTCAGCTGCATGCAGCTGGTGGTCGCCAGGGCCCCGTGAACAAGGACCTTGCTACACGAGGACACCTGCGCGCCTCAGAAGAAGCTGCAACCGCGGGGCGAGAAATCCGCCGAACTTGTTTCTTTTTGAAACGGATCTTGCGGACTCCTGCCGTCTTGCAGACTCCTGCCGTTTCGGTCTCCGCGAGCTGGGGGGGGGATTAGTTTTGCTTTCCACGGTCGGGGATCCAGGACGTTCTGGACGCATGTGTCTAGGGTCAGGACTCGGGGCGGCAATGCCACTTTCTCGCCAAGGTGAGGGCGGGACTAGATTTCTTGTTTCGTTTTACAAAAAAACATAAACATACAGCGTCTGGCGCTCCGCGCGGAATTCTTGGATCTGCGCTGGACCCCCCTCCCTGGCGCGCGCCAGGTGCGGCGCCGGAGGCGCCGCTGGGGGCCCAGCACGGAGCAAGGGAATCCGCGCGGAGCGCCAACATTTTCTGGTCATGGCGTCTTTTCTTCTTCGAGGGACGCGAGCAGGGCGGGAGGGAGGGACGGTTCGACTTCGACTACACGCAGGACTGGCCCCAGGCCCGAGCGACCTGTGGTGCGCGGCTTGCCGATCGATGCCTGCGATGCAGCGAAGGCGGCCCGCGCACCCGTGTCCTCCCCCGCGAGCCGCGCAGCACAGGTCCCTCCGGCGCGGGGCCTCGCCTGCGCGCCGCCGGACCGACGGGGGAAGGCGCTCCCCGTCCTCGGGCGTGCGGGGCACGAAGTCGCCGCCCTCGGGAGCCGCCTGGGAGGCGCCACCCGGCGGCGTGACCGCCGGTGCGCTGGCGGCCTTGTCCAGGGCGGCTGCGAAGGCCCCGAGCATGCTCTTGTCGGAGGACGTGTCGGTGCCGAGGACCAGCTGCAGGAAGAGGGCGCGGAGGCGGCGCAGCTCCTCCCGCGGCAGCGCGGCCAGGAAGTCGAGCCCCGGGCGCCGCAGCAGCGCGAACGCGGCGGCCGCGTGGTGGTTCTCGTTCACCTGGCTGTCGTTGTAGCGCACTGCGCGCTCGTGGCCTGGTCAGTGGGCCCTGGAAGCGGCAATGCCAGATTTCACCGCTTCCGAGCAGCTGCCTCTTGGCCATGGACACGGCCACAGAAACTACACCGCGAAACGGGGGAAGAACGGTTCAGCGAAACGGCCAGGGCTGTCCGGGGATCCGAAGACTGGCTCGAGAGCGGTTCGGATCCGGCACCAAAGCTGCGTTCTCGAGCAAGCCCCCAGATAGAGGAACTGGAAATGGCACCACAACAGCACCGGAAACCTCAAGAAAACAACGGGGCCAGAGACGGGACGCACAAAGACATACTAGTACGATACATACTTGCTGGAGGAGCGCGTCCGACCCGAACATTAGTAACCCATCTTGTAGTGTATCGTTTTCCAAGCGGTGTGGCCACAAAGCGCCGGCCACGACGCATATTCCCCAATCAGAGCTTGCCTCTGTAGGGGTCCTAGCGGATTAAAGGGTTAGGTGAAGTTGGTCGCCGATTTCGGTGGCCGGGCCCGGGTGCCCGGGGGTGCCCGGGTGCCAAGGGGTGCCCAATAGCCCAATAGCCCAGTAGCCCGATAGCCCTATAGCCCTATAGCCGTATAGCCCCATAGCCCTGTAGCCCTATAGCCTTATATCCCTATAGTCCTAATAGCCTTATATCCCTGTAGCCCCATAGCCCATATAGCTCTATAGCCCCGTAGCCTTACGGCCCTATAGGTCACAATCCTATAGCCCTATAGCCCTATAGCCCGATAGCCCTATAGCCCTATAGCCCGATAGCCCTATAGCCCGATAGCCCTATAGCCCTATAGCCCTAAACAAATGATTGGGGCTTTTCTCCGGTATCATACTATACTATTCGGGGTGACGCGCACATAGTACTGGTATGTTGGGGTGACGCCGAAGAGAATGCAAAAGAAACGGAACCTCGAACACGGTAATCAAAAAGGCTGCCGTTTCAGTCCAAGGGCCCACTGAGCCCGTGGCCCGTGCGCACCAGGAAGTCGTTCGTGCAGCCGGGGTGCTCGTAGTCGTGGCAGGCGGCGGCCAGCAGGCACGCCATGGCCTCGAGCGCTCCGTCCGCTGCGGCCGCACCCTGGCAAGATCAGTCAACATCGAATCGGGACCTCCTTCATCTCCTCCTCCTCCTCCTCCTCCTCCTCCTCCTCTGCCTCCTCCTCCTCCTCCTCGTGCTCCTCCTTCTCCTGCTTCTCCTTCTCCTCCTCCTCCTCCTCCTCCTTCTCCTCCTCCCTCCACCGCCCGCCCCATGTCCCAATGGAGGCCAGTTCACAAGAAACCCTCCAAAAGAAACCCAACCCTGAGACCCCAGGACGTCCTTGGCTTTCTGGTGTCGGAGCGTCACGCTTTCCATGGCAAGACCATCGAAACCCAAAAAACCCAGGGCACCCTGGAGGCAAGCAGGGTGTTTCTTGGCATGGGCTCCCACTGTACGTCGGATCAGGCCGAACTGGCACGGAGTCGACATCGAAGCGGGTCGGCCGCGTCAAGATGCGCAGCACCGCCGTGCAGGCATCGGGCCACGTCCGGATCGTCGGCAAGCCGGAATCAAATCGGATCGATCCCACCGGAATCGATATGCAAACGTTTTTTCCCCGGCCATCCTGTGGTGTTGGGTCCTCGTTTTGAAGAGACATCGCCCCGCGTCTCCTTCCTCCCGCTGCCCACTTCCTCCACCTCTCATCATCATCATCATCATCATCATCATCATCATCATCATCATCATCATCATCATCATCGTCATCGTCATCGTCATCATCATCATCATCAGCAGCATCATCATCATCAGCAGCATCATCACCATCATCAACATCATCATCATAATCATCATCATCAGCATCATCATTATCTTCATCCTCATCATCAGCATCAGCATCATCATCATCAGCATCCTCATCCTCATCCTCATCCTCCTCATCCTCATCCTCATCCTCATCCTCCTCCTCATCATCATCAGCATCATCATCGTCGATATCGGAATCATCATCATCGTCATCATCACCATCATCGTCGTCAACATCGTCGTTATCGCCGCAATCATCATTACCGCCAGCATCGTCATCATCATCATCATCATCATCATCATCATCATCATCAGCAGCAGCAGCAGCAGCAGCATCCTCATCATCATCGTCGGTGCACCCCTCACGATGATCGTGGCCCCATGGGGAGCTTTGCCGAAGGCCCCAGTGGAGCAGCCCGCATGCGTCACGCACACCCATTTCGGCACACCCCTCACACGTTTCGTGGCCCCATAGGGAGCTCCGCCGGAGGTCCCAGTGGCGCAGCCCGCATGCGTCACGCACACCCAGTTCGGCACACCCCTCACAGGTTTCGTGGCCCCATACGGAGCTCCACCGAAGGTCCCAGTGGCGCAGCCCGCATGCGTCACGCACACCCATTTCGGCACACCACTTACACGTTTCGTGGACCCATAGGGGGCTCCACCGACCAGCCCAGTGGCACAGCCCGCATGCGTCATGCACACCCATTCCAGCACACCACTCAAAAGCTTCGTGGCCCCATACGGAGCTCCACCGAAGGTTCCAGTGGCGCAGCCCGCATGCGTCACGCACACCCATTTCGGCACTCCCCTCACACGTTCCGTGGCCCCATACGGAGCTCCACCGAAGGTCCCAGTGGCGCAGCCCGCATGCGTCACGCACACCCATTTCGGCACACCTGTCACACGCTTCGTGGCTCCATAGGGAGCTCCACCGAAGGTCCCAGTGGCGCAGCCCGCATGCGTCACGCACACCCATTCTGGCACACCCCTCACACGTCTCGTGGCCCCAAAAGGAGCTGCACCGAAGGTTCCAGTGGCGCAGCCCGCATGCGTCACGCACACCCATTTCGGCACACCCCTCACACGCTTCGCGGCCCCATACGGAGCTCCACCGAAGGCCCCAGTGGCGCAGCCCGCATGCGTCACGCGCCATAGGGAGCTCCACCGAAGGTCCCAATGGCGCAGCCCGCATGCGTCACGCACACCCATTTCGGCACACCACTCAGACGCTTCGTGGCCCCATAGGGAGCTCCACCGAAGGTCCCAATGGCGCAGCCCACATGCGTCACGCACACCCATTTCGGCACACCCCTTACACGCTTCGTGGCCCCATAGGGAGACACCCCTCACAGGTTTCGTGGCCTCATACGGAGCTCCACCGAAGGTCCCAGTGGCGCAGCCCGCATGCGTCACGCACACCCACCAATTTCGGCACACCATTCACACGTATCGTGGCGCCAGAGGGAGCTCCACCGAATGCCCCAGCCACCGCCCGCATGCGTCCGCCTCATTAATTTCGGCACACCCCTCACACTTTTCGCGGCCCCTCAGGGAGCTCAACTGAATACGGTACATACAATTGCGGTTCGCACAGCTGCATCAAGTTGGGTCCTTCGCCAGGCTAATTCATTCGGCGTTTCGACATTGGGCGGAAGGGGGAGGGGAATCTGGCTCTGGACCTCTGCTTAGTGCGACTGTTTGCAAGAGTCCGTCCTATGGGGGAGACGCAACCTGCTTGAAACAGGTGCCAAAAAACAGCCAAGATCTACTCCATGGGAGGGAGGGGGGAGGGGGGTGCGAGGGCCCGCGCCGATCGGCAAAACAATGAATAAAAAACGATCACACTTCGGAATCGAATCGGATCGATCCCGCCGGAATCGATATCGAATCGGATCGATCGGGCTGGAAGCGATATCGAATCGGAGCGACACCGGATCGAAGTGGACCCCGCCTGGTCGCTCCGCAGCGCCGCCGCGGCTTTCTGCGCGAGCGACCCACTGCGCAGCGCGGCGTGGGTCAGGTGCAGCACGGAGGCCGCGTGGGCTCGATGGTGTCAGGAGGCAATGCCTGGGAGGTCTTCGCGAGTACGAGAGGTGGCTGGTGAAAGCTCGATGAATGAGCCACCAAGCGGGATTATAGTGGGGGCCATGCCAAGAAACACCCTGCTTGCCTCCAGGGTGCCCTGGGTTTCTTGGGTTTCGCTGGCTTTGCCATGAAAAAGCGTGACGTCCTTGCACAAGAAATCCATGGACGTCATGGGGTCTCAGGGTTGGGTTTCTTGTGGGCGGGTTCTTGTGGACTGGCCCCACTGTAAGCCAGATCGAGCCAAAGATTAAGCTGGACGAGGACAGATTAGGCAAGATTCAGCCGGGTCAAACGGGATCATGCCAGATTAGGCCGGTTGTCGACCACGGATCTAGTTGCCAGCGCTGATGCTGAATCTAACCTCCCAGGAGTTGCATCCTAGGATTGTGGTACTGGACCGCATCGTCGTAGCCGCGCTCAAGCTCCAGGAAGAACTGCGACACCTTCTCGCTGTCCAGGCCGAAGCGCGCCACGAGCCCCAGCCGGTCGAACAGGAAGCAGCCCAGCGAGCTCAGAGGTCGCCCGTCGGTGAGCGAGGCTAGCGTGGCCACGTCCAGATCCCAGCCGTCCAACGACTGCTCGAGCAACGTCGTGGCCTCCTGGGAGATGCGCGGCGCCTGACCCCCCTTCTTGCAGGAAGGCTGCGCCTTGACTGGCTCTGCCTCCAACCTATCCGCCTCTGCCTCCTGCGCCAGCCTCTCGGGCGGCAGATCGGAGTGCTCTGTCTGAAGGTGAGGCTGGTTCAGCTCGCCGAAGGTGTCGCTGTTGACGACCGCCGTGGCTGCCTGCGAGGCGAACACCTCCAAGAAGTGCGAGTCGTCCGCCGTGAAGCGGCTGCCCTGGTCTGGGTCCAGAGCCTTCACGAACGACCGTCCTGACCGGAGGCGGCCCACAGCTGACTCTGGCCGAGAGGCACTGGAAGCCCCTCGCACATTCCCCCTGGAGGTCGTCTCGCTGCTATGGGTCTTGTTAATGAGCTGGACGACGCCGATGACGCCACCCTTCCTCGCCTTCAGGGGCGCGCACAACACGGTCCGCGTTCTAAATCCCGTCTTTCTGTCGATGGTCTTGTTGAACCGGGCATCCGCGTACGCATCGTCGATGATGACCGTGTCGCCTGTCATGGCAACATGACCAGCGATGCCGGCACCAAACGGGATCCGCAATTCGACGCCCGTCGAATTCACACTCGAGTAGAGCTCCTGCCGGCTGCCGTCGACCAGGAAGACGGACGCGGCCTCAGCCCCGACCAGCATCTTAGCCTCATTCATAATGTGGCGCAGTATGTGCTCCACGCTGTGGTCGGCGTTCACCTGGGAAACTGCCCGCTATTGGAGACTTGGGTCGTAAAAGCCTCTTAACTAGGGAAGCGAGCGTACTTTCGCGTTTCGAATCGTGCGAGACGTGCGCTGCTGCGGCTGCTGCTGGTGGTACTCCTCCCCTGAAATCCGACAACATTGCAAACATTACGACCGGATCCCTAGACCCTATATTTCTGCAATGTGTTCTGAACGGGATCGATCTGTGATGGTCCCGGGTAAAGAAGCGTGAACAAAATCGCACGGATCGATCTGTGATGGTCCCGGGGATGCGAAAATCGACAGTTGTGGAAAAATGCGCAAGGATCTCATGCAGGAGAGCCCAGAATCGAATCGATAAGTCGGATCGGCGATCAAAATGAATCGAATCGGAGGAAAGCGGCAGCCAATCCGGAAAAAGTCGGATCGGGAGAAATCGACAGGTCAGCAAGGCCTCCACCGAAGCGCCGAATCCGAATCGAACAACTCCGATGTCGAATCGAATCGGATTCGGAATCGATCGGAATCGAGTCGAACCGACTCGGAAGAATCGAAATGAGCCCTGCCTACGGTGGGGTCACTGTGCAAGGAGCACTTCCATGAGGCATCCTGCAGGGGCGGGGGGAGGGGCTGGCTGCTGGCTGCTGACCTCCCGACCCTCCGGCAGCAGGGGGCAGCGGCGGGGGATGGATCGAACGTCGATCGCCGATGTCTTATCGTCTCAGCGGTATGCGGTGGGAGCCCTCACAGGAGCAAGGGAGGGCGACACCAGCACGACCAGGGCAAGGAGATGCGAGGAGGCACGCGGGGGTCTCCACGGTGGTGCGGCCCCCTGTCGCTCGAGACAGCCCCAGCCTCCAGCTCGGGGAGGCATCGTGGACCTCCTCGCTGGAGGTGGGCCCCCTGGTGGTGTTGGTATCGCTTCTCATCCCTCCGACGCTTACCAGCAGCGAACACTCCATCAGCGCGTCCACCGTGCGCAACAACCGGGCGTTCGCGGCAAGGTCCCGGGTCCCGCGGCGGCGGATCGTCTGCCGGATGGTCTGGCGGTGGACACAGAAGAGCTCGTTGAAGTACTCGTCGATCGCGTTACGCAGTGCGTGGTTGGGGTACAAATTGGTCCCAATGAGCTCCTGTTCTTGGACGCCCGAAGTGGGTGCGGAAACGATGCGGACGATGCCCAACAACTAATTAATGGTGTCCCAGCCCGACAGCGGCCGCTGGTGGGCAGGCAGCTTTCTGCCTCAAATGGACAACGTCCGCGGCGGCACCGACAGCGAGTCCTTTGCAAAAGAAGCAGGAAATACCGTCGGTCTTCGTACCCACTCTTTCTGTATCATTCCGATCGTACCGATGTTTGAAGGAGGCCAAAAGGTATGAGCTTGTTGGGCACTGAGAAATCGGGCAATTGGGGGGGGGCGGGGGGGGAAGAAACATCCGCTCAGAATCCGTCCCCGGACCCCTCCTGGCGATCCACCTGGTGCAGCTTTTGACTCCGAACTAATGTTTGACGGTCCTGGGGCTAAAAGCGGCCCCGGGAGGGAGAACAACAAATATGTCGAACCCAAAATCTCGAACCTCACCCCACCCCACCCCCTCCTGCTCGCCGGAACCAGTGCTGGGCCACCTCGGACCCCAGCCGGCTCCGAGCTCCTGACGCGTGACAGGCGAGGTGCTGCTGTGGGAGAGCCAGCGCTGGATGTGCTGCCTCTCGTACGTGTGCCCGTCTGGAAGCACCTGCAGGGAGAGCGTACGACGCAAGACGCAAAAACTGGCCTTTCGAGAGATGTAATAGCGACCTCACGCGGTGGCTTACGCGGGACGCCAGGGCAGCGCGCTACATCGGGCACGGGGGCGCTGACGCGCGACCTTACTTGGGCAACTTACGCGCGAATGTCGGCGCAGCCACCCCGTGTTCTCTCCGTCGCTTGGGGGATGCGAGCGAGCAGAAGTGGGGAGGATGAGGAGGGAGTCTGCACAGCAGTGGCGGGAGACTGGGGGAAGGTCGAGACCACGCGCTCAGTCGTGGCATGCCGCGCGGATGAAATCGCAGCACTGGGCAGGACAACGTGGAGCGGACCCTGGAGAAGGAAAGAAGACGATCTGGATTGCAATGTGCGGTTAGAGAAGACGATCTGGATTGCAATGAGCGGTAGGCCGCGGCGGGAGACTCGAGATTAATTGCGAAGACGTGCGGCGGCGATGCAGCAGCTGTCGTGAGCACGTGTGCAATAATCAGTCTTGGTCTCTGGAGAAGGGCAGGTCAACTCGGTTCGCATGCGCGTATTCGACGGGCATTCGATGGGAAACACACACGCACATTAGATGATGAGGGGGCAGAGCTCGGAATTGGGGCTCCGCGGGAATGGCTCCATCGCGGGAGCCATTGCAGGTGGCGTGCAGCTCTCGAGGTGTGGAGAGGGAGGGCGAAGGGGAAGGCAGGAAGCAAGGCAAGTGGAGGGCAGGTGGTGAGAGACGGAGATCGCCATATGAAGATCCCGAGGGTCTCCAGCAGTTTGCGGCGGTGTCTGGGGGTCTCTGGAGCTCCCCACGAGGGAGGCTCCAGCGGAGGCCTCCTCCTCCTCCTCCCTCTCCTCCTCCCCCGCCTCCTCCTCCTCCTCCTCCCCCCCCCTCCTCCCCCTCCTCCCCCTCCTCCTCTCCTCCTCCTCCTCCTCTTCCTCCTCCTCCTCCTCCTCCGCCTCCTCCTCCCCCTCCCTACTCTACTCTCTCTCCCCCGTCCTTCCTCTCCTCCTCCTCGCTCGGCGCCTGCCTCTCGTTCCTCCTGCTCCCGAATCGTTCCGAATCGCAGCGTGGGCCTCATTTTCGGACGTTCTCGACCACCGCGCCGCACCGCCACCACCACCACCACCACCACCACCACCAACCACCACCACCACCACCACCACCAGCACCAGCACCAGCACCAGTACCAACACCACCACCACCAGCACCACCACCACCACCACCACCACCACCACCACCACCACTACCACCACCACCACCACCACCACGACAACCACGCACACACGCACGCACGCACGCACGTGCACCACCACCCACTACGCACGCGCGCGCGGAGCCACAGGTCCGCTACGACACGCGTCCGCGGATAGAGAAAATCAGCGCCATGGTAAGGGATGGGAGGGAGGGGTAGGACGTCAGATATGACGCGAGCGCACCTAGCTTGTCCTCCGCCCCCTCCTCCTCCTCCTCCTCCTCCCCCTCCTCCTCCTCCTCCTCCTCCTCCTCCTCCTCCTCCTCCTCTGCTCCGTTGCTCTAACGGCCCTGGGGCCCGCAAGCGGCCACCGCAGGCCGAGGGAAAGGCAAGGCACCTGCCCGAGCCACAAGAGCCCCGAACCGGCCCGCCCTTCCCGCTGGCCAGAGCCACCTGCTGGGCCACCTCAGGCTCACGGGCGGCGGACATTATCCATGCCCACGCCCTCGCGGTCCATACTCGGGAGCCACATCCCGTGGACACGCGGACCTTCCGAGCGGGACATCCGCGAACAAAACGCCCCGTATCCACGGGGTCGCGGCCTCAGGGGCCCAGCCGGCGAGGCCGTGAACACTGATATGATATGTTTTCCGACCACCTCAAGCTCCCAGACGGCTCCAGGACCGACCCCTCAAGAAGTCGGCCCGCGGAAACCCCTCCTGCGGCGCAATTTTTGCTGGGATTTCCGATAGCGGGCACGGCCGCGGCGACGAGCATGGCGGCACGGAAGAGCGACCCTGGGCAAGAGTGGCCTTTGGTGCGCGGCCCAAGGGAGGGTCCTTGGGGTCATTGGGGCCCTTTTGAGGAGGGGGAGGGCGAGAATGAATAGATAGAAGTGACACTAAATCTCGAACGTCGAACCAAATCCTACCTGACCCCAATCGCTAAGCCCCAGGGCCCTGTGCAGGGTCCAGGGCGCGCAAGTTCAAGAAACAACAAACAATCCGCGGCCCGCGGCGCAGTACCGATCCTGGGAGGTTGGGGGCCCGGAGCTAATTACGGGGCGCACGTCGTGAGACGACCACGCCGTCGCAGGTCTTGAGGGGCGGGGAGGCCTGATACTACACCATCTTGCTGGCTCTTGCCAGTCGACGCTAATCAACCCTCATCGATGCTAAATCGACGCGAATTCGGCGCTATCTCATCGATTACCAGACGCTAATCGACGCCAGCGCTCTCCAACGACCGAATCGCAGGGGTACGCGAGGCTCGCTGGATTTGCTACCGGATGAATCATTGATCGGCGAGGGTAAGATTTGGATTTCGCCGCCGAACCATCCTCGGCGCCCTGGTCCAACTCAGGGAGCCGAGGATGGACCGGCTACACGCAAGAGTGACCCCAGGCAAGAGTGGCCTTTGGCGCACGGCCCAAGGCAGGGTCCTATGGCGGACACCGCTGGGCGGGCAAGCCGCTGATACCGCACCGCCTTCAACGATCGCGGGGCCCCATTGGGCCCGCCCCAAAGGCCACTCCGGCGAACGACCACTCTTACGCGCAGCCGAAAGAAAGACGAGGAAAGACGGCGCCGGGGGCCAAAACTCTAAGCGCGCAAGACACTGCTGCGAAGGTCACTCTCACGCGCAGCCGATCCAGGGAGAGGGGTGGGGAAGCCACAGCATCGATGCATGGTCCTTCTCGCTCACCGAGCCCACAAAGGACGTACGCGCCAAACCACGCACATGCATACGAGACCAGCCTCGTCATAGGAACGTTCGCGCAAGAAATGCTTTCGATGCCAACGTGAAGCCATGTACGTGTACGTCTTTCTTTCGCTCCTGATCTCCCTTCCGCCCAAACCTGGGTCAGGAAGCAACTCCTGGGTGGTCTTCGAAAGAGAGATTAGGGCTTATAAAGCCCAATTAGAGGCGGATGGCGCAGGAATGGGACGAACTGGGCGGACTATTCCAGGTCAGTCCAGTTTCTGGCCACGGGTCTGGACCTCCCATGGGCTGCATGCACCCTGACCTGGGGCACCGCGGGGAGACGGACGGGGAGGGAGGGAGAGACGCAGGGGCGTGGGGCACCACGAGAAATGCAGTGGAGGGGAGGACAAGGGGCAGGCGGGGGAGGGTGGGGAGGCGGCGTGGGAGGGGGCGGAGGAGGATCGGGCGTCGCCTGAAGGGGGGCGGCGATGAAGGGGGGGAGGAGAGATAGAGAGAGAGAGAGACGCGTGCACTTGTCTTCGTGTCCCTCTTGGGGCCCCAGGGGCCCCCTGTTTAGAGCTCGAATTAGGGCACAGGAGGTCTCGCCCCCGCGCTTGCCTCCCCGCCCCATGACGCGACGCGGTGGCTCGGCCGGGGGTACACCCAGGTCGGAAGAAGTAGGCGGAAGCATGACATAGGACGGCAGATCAAGTAGATTGGGTCCGGGCCCGCCTATCATGACCAGCGACAGCCACACCATATCGATTCTTGAAGCAGGAAGGCGCGGGAAGTGGACCAGCGGTCTGGGAATCCTGAAGTGCCTGCTTTCCACGGCCGAGGGGCAGGGCTGCTTCTGCCCCGGAGGCACCACGGGGTCGTGCATGCACTGCCGGGAGATCGGGCACAGGAAGGAGGGCGGGTGCTGCCACTCGTGCGCTGGCGTGGTCCACGCGGGCGAGCCGTCCTCGGAGGCGCTCTCCTGGGGGAGGAGAGAAAGAGAGGGCGAGGCCCGAAGGTCGAGGATAGCGCAGGCTGGCGATGCAGAACAAGGCTGGACCTAAACGCTGCTTTCAGTGTGTTCGCGTTATGTTTTTCGCTTTGCTCTGCCTGTTTTCCTGTACCTCCCTCTCAAAACGAAAAAACAGGATCTAACCGAAGTCCGCCGGCAAAACAGCGCTTGGGTGCAGCCCTGAGGCAGAGCGACAGAACTCGGGGAAACGACTCGGCGTGCAGATTGCTGCCGCCGGGGCGTGTTTTTTTGGTGGGGAGAGGACGGCCAGAAGGATCGCAATGACGACGGCGACACTTCCGCGAGCTGGCCCCGGACCCAAAATGTCATCATCGCCAGGGGCGCGGCTGCACCATAGCCGCACCCCGGCATGTCTCGATCGTCATCATACACCAGCGGACTAAAGTTCGATTCTGGGAGGCTGCTCGCGGGAGGTTGTTCTGTGGGTTCGCTCAGGATCCGTTCCACCGAACAGGAATGCTACGAGTCCAGATTCAGTTGGATCAAGCCACAAATCAAGCCATAACAGGCCGGAAGCAGGGGGGTCGAGCCAGATGATGCTGGAGGAGGCTTAGTGGAACCGAACTGCGATAGATCTTGAGCACACCATCCAAAGAGCTCCGACCTGCGCTCGAGCATCGGGGGTCGAACCGTTTTGTCTGCTCAAAATTATTGGGCCTCTGGGAGGCTCCTATTCGCCACGGCTGGGTCCCACTTGAAGTCATTGCCACAACGCACCCCAGGAGACATCCGAGGGTCGATTCTGAAGGAAGGCCTGTGTTCGGCCTCGGGGAGCACTTCTCGGGCCCCCTGCCATGGAAGGGATCGAGAGGTCCAAGGGTCAAGAACTAACAACTCCGTCGACCCCCAGGGGTTCATCGGCGTGTGAGATGCTTCCCCCTCCCCAAACCCATCATGAGTCGTCTCTTGACGGTCCCGAGGCGCGGTCAGGGCCCCCGGGAGGCCGAACAGGGCGAAAAACCCTCCACCGTGACTTTTTTTCTCACAACGCGAGGGGGCCTGGGAAAGACGAGGAACGCAGGCGCCGTCCTCGGCGCTGGCGCCCCGGTCCATCTCGGGGAGCATGCGGCCGCGCCGCAAACGGCCAAGGCACTCGGCGGGGGGGGGCCCTCCGCCTGCTTGTGGCACCCCTGCCGGGGCACGGCTCGCTGCTCGAGCCGGCCTGGCAGCGGCGGCGGAGGCCAGGGGCACGGGGGCCTCGGCAGCCAGTCGGGGGGGGCCGAGCTGGGAACGGAAGCACGCCCAGATATCTGGCGATCTGATTCTTCAATCCAGGCGTGTCTGATGGAGTTCAGCCTCCAAGGCCAGGTCTTGGGCCCTGGGACCATCAAAAACGGATCTGGGAAGCAAAACTACCCACTGGCAAGGGGTCGTGAGCTCTGGAGCCGCGGATTGAAAAAATCAGATCGGAGGATGTGTGGGTGCGCCCGAAGACCAACAACATGCCCTATACGTTTTGAGCAGGAACCGCTGCCAGTGCCGCCGCGGACACTGTCCACCTGAAACAGAGAGCTGGCTGGCCATCGTACACTCAAAACTGATAGGAAGGATGCGCGACAAGGATGCAAGCCCCTTGGACGCCCATGTCCAAGCTTTTCGAGCGGGGCTGGCTACCGAAGTGGTCAAAGATGGACCGAAAAGGCAAGGATGTAAGGGTACCCTGGGGAAGGCTACCTATCCTTATCATCTTTGGACGCCCGAAATGGGTACGGAAAGAATGGGTACAATGCCCAACAACAAATGTTGTCCCAAACCAACAGCGGCCGCTGATGGGCGGGCGGACTTCTGTCTCAAATGGACACAGGCCGCGGCGGCGCGGACAGCGAGTCCTGTTCAAAATGAACAGGAACTGCTGTTGGGCATCGTGCCCGTTCTCTCCGTGCCCATTTCGCTCGTGCAGATCACCTGTTTCGACGTACACATGTGTTGGGCGTCCAAAGCCAGGGGGCCGGCGAGGAGAGCTCCGCAGGAGGCCAGCAGAGAGGCGTGGAGCCGCGGACGTCGGAGAACATCCCGCGGGCCGCTCTCGCGCCAACCGTCCCGGCCGCGCGCCGGCGCACGCGGGGCGGCCTGGCAGAACGCGCGGTAGTCGGAGGCGAAGAATATCTCCTCTGCCCAGGGCGCTCGGGCGGAGCGTCGCCTCCACGTCTTCCCGCCTCGCAATCCTCCTTCTCATCCGCCTCCGCTTCCTCCTCCCCCACACACGCACCCTTGCCCCCCTCTCCCCCCCCCTCCCCCTCCCCCCCCCCCCCCACACACACACTTACACACACGTACACACACGCGCGCGCGCATCATCAGCACGGTGGAGGCATTGGATAAGGAAAACTTGGGTATGGAATCCAGGGTCTGCAGGCCAGTGGAACTCCAGTCGAGGCTTGGCCATGGATATCACCGACGCCCTCATCAGATAAGGCATCCTCCAGGGTCTGCAAGCTCCTGGGCGCATTCCTTAACCAACGCCTCCACCGTATCGCCCTCGCTCTTGTCCTCTCCGACGTCCCCCACTCAACGCAAAGGCTACGAAATGCGTTAGCGAAAACACGGTCGGTCTGGGATCCCACCAGCCATCTTGGCGTAGGTGGTCTGACGAGGTGATTCCTTCCCTCGTCCGAAACTCCTTTTCATTTCGGGGAGGAGGTCACCCTCCCCCAAGATGGTTTCAACTGCCATCGGAGCCCCTCACAGCCCCCCCCCTCAAGAGGCCACCATCCTTCAAAACCCCACAGGGAGTCAATGATTGTTGTCTCCTCGCCGTTTTGTTTTCGATGGGCGCCCCAGGCCTCACCAAGAGGGGTCGAATAGGCTCCTAAGATGACCACGAGAGCGCCTCATGGGCGCCCCGAAAGGGCGCAAGAGGCAATTGTGATGGCTCCAAAGGGCAAGGGAAATCGAGGGCACCGCTATTTTTCCCAGAGCCCTCTACAAGATGGCCCCAAGATGCCCTCAAGCGCTTCCAAAAGACCCCCAAGAGGGCCCCAAGATCATCTGGGAGAGCCAAGAGGGACAACAGGGCCCCAAGAGGACCCGAATAGGGCCTCCAGAAAGACCCCAAGGTGGCTGCCAGAGTCGTCGTACTCCTCCTCCTCCTCCTCCTCCTCCTCCTCCTCCTCCTCGGCCTCCTCCTCCTCCTCGCTGCCGCCCTCTTACTCCTCCTCCTTCTCCTCCTTCTCCTCCTCCTCCTCCTTTTCGTCCTTGTCTTCCTCCTCCTCCTCCTCCTCCTCCTCCTCGTCTTCGTCCTCTTCCTCCTCGCCCTCCTCTTCATCCACGTCCTCCTTCTCGTCCTCGTTCTCCTCCTCGTCCCCATCATCGAGCTACTCGTTGTTCTCCTCCTCGTGCTCATCCACCGTCTCGTCCGCGTCCTGGGTCTCACCAGGCTGAAATAAACAGTGATATACTTCAATCGTTTCCCCAAGCTTGGGTCTGCTAGTCTTAACGATCGCGAAGGAAGTATACGTGCAATCGATTCCTTCAGACTCGCCGATCTTAATGCACTTGGTCTCCCTGTTCTTCTTGTTCCAGGTTCTGAGTTTCGTTCAGCTGCCCCTGAAGTGTAACAACCACACCATGCGTCTCCACTGTCCAGATCACTGCAAATCGCCTCGGCATCGTTTCTGGATGGGCTGGTGGGATACGCCAAGCATCACCAATTGTAAAATGTTGTGGGCTGATTGGCGAAATGAGATTGGCCCCCCCCCCCCACAGACGAGAAGTGAAGGACTCCCAACTGCACGATGCACTCTCATCTCACGAACACGACACCTTAGGTCTCACAACGTGACGTGAGTTTACCTTGCTGGCGTGTGAATCTGAGGCGCTGGCTTGAACTCGAATGGATGACTGAACAATATATCGGAAAAGACCTCGTAGGGCTTTCGCTTGTTTAGTGTTCGACTTGTTCCTGCAGGCAAGGCGAACGCGAGATGTACGTCTCGCGGACGCCGCTCCTGATCTGAGACAAGCCCTTGATAGGCATTGCGAGATACGAAGAAGCGTGTTGGCACACGTACGAGACTCGGGCACACCACCAGATGATTCAAACTCGCCAGCAGTCCGAGCGAGACACGAGCGCTGCGTCAGTATGCGCGTGGCGAAACACTGCTGAGCAACAACCCACTCAGAGCACACCGAGCGTTGAACGTCGGGGAGACGTAAGACTTGGTTTCGGAGGATGTGGGTTGGCCCGACAAAGGGCCGTCAGGAGCATGACGAGGCCCAACTTGAAATTTGCGGCGCGAACTTCCGCCACAAGCCGCCCACGAAGACTGGACCGTCAAGATGCAGGACATGCCCGTCAAAAGGTGTCACCAAACCCGCGTTCTGGTGAAATTACTCGAGTCTTACGTTTAGGTCGGGCATGTCCTTCTACAGGTGGCTTCTGGAAGAAACATGAGGACACGAATCATATAACATAAGCAACAATACTCAACACCAGTCCGAACACCGTCTCCGTGTATACGTTTTTTACAAAACTGTGTCTGAACCTTCCTCTTGAAGAGAGGCATGCCCGCCTCAGTCTTACGTCTTCCCCCGAACGCGCCGCAACCTCCACGGGGCCGAACACATCTCCCCCAAAACGGCGGGCAACGCTGCCGGCGCCGGTGCCGGCCTGGGCTCCTTGGCGCGAGGAGCCCAGCCCCCCCCCCCCGGGCAGGCTCGCCCAGTGCGGCGCGAGCGCACCGGGCGTGAGGTGGTGAGCTGTTTTCCACCGCCAGCACCAGAAGTAGGAGGGGGTCATCCTCCTCCTCCTCCTCCTCCTCTTCGTCGTCCTGCTCCTCCTCCTCCTCCTCCTCCTCCTCCTCCACCACCTCCTTCGCCCCTCCAACTCATGGTGGTGGTGGTGGAAACCAAGCCCATCATGAGGGGGGAATTGTCAGGGGGGGGACCTGAAGGGGGCGACGGCCTCCGTTGAGAAGCCAATATCCGACTCGGAATCTGGAGTCGACTCGAATCCCAGGGCAACTGTCTTCGCGCTTCGCGCGCGCGCGACGCGAAGCGCGATGATCTTCGCGCTTTCGCGCCGCCCCCACACACCCCAAACAGGATGATGGACTCGCGCCTCGCTCTGAAACCGCCCACACCGCGAGACGCGACTAACTTCGCACACTCGTGGTGGCCCTGGCGAATCGGAGTCGGAATCGATCCACATCGAATCGGATCAAATCGGAGGAGTCGAGATGGGCCCTTGAAAGGGGGGGCCCTCCTCTGGCTCGCTGTCCGATGAGCCCGCGTCGGGAGGCCGCGCCATCGCAGCTTGCCCAGCTGCCACGTCCGTCTCCAGGACGTGCACGTCGCCTCGGCGGGGCTGCCATCGCTCGGACGTCCATTCCCCCGTGCACCATTCGGCGAGTTTCCTTTCGCGAGATGACGCGAACCAAGACATGCGACGTCCTGATTTTTTGACGGCGTCCCCGGAAGTCCAGACCCTTTCCCCGGGGCCGGTTTTCCGTCCCGAACAATGGTTTGACGGTGCCGGGGCTCGGCAAGGGCCCCCGAGGCCCAGACTGCCGAACAACTTGGCCGTCCTGATTTTGGTTTACGACGCGACCCCATGTCTGCGAAGGGGTTCCTCGAAGGTCCTCGCCGAGAAACGATGTACGAAGATGTACATGTCCGAGCGAGGCCAAGGGGCGGGTGCGCGCTGGCATCGAGGCCGCCGGGCCAGGGGGGCCAGTGGGCGGCGGAGCGCCCCCGCCCTCCTCTCCAGGCCGAGAGGTGCATCCTGGGAGCTCTGCACGGGAATGATCGACGACGTCTGAGATAGTTTGTTCTATATTGATCGGCGATGGCCCAGGTCATCCCGTGGGGGGGGGAAGGGGGAGAGGTTCCGGGGGGGGGGAGGTTCCCGCAGATTACCCAACCTTCTCGCTCTGGGCAGCCCCACATATGCCCGCACGCACCAATACTGCGCACCCCTTCGGACCTGCGAACCCGACACGGTCAGGCTGTTGGAGAGAGGGGGGCAAGGGGGAAAGGGCGTGCGGGCCCGATATCCTGGGGTATCTCGGGACCCTGAAAAACAGCCTTAGCCAGCCCGATGCAACGAGCTACTGAGCCAATGTACCAATGATAGCCGGCCCAGTCGGGCGCAGCATACGTCTGGTCGCTCGCAATCAACGTGACAGAGTGAAAGTCGCGCCGCGGGGGGCCTGCCCCCGGCCTCCAGTTGAAGCCAGTGCATCGAGGCTTGCCGGCGAGCGAGGGGGGGAAATGAGAAGGAGAAGGCCTTCTCAGAAGGCGGCGGGACTTCTCAGAAGGCCTTGCGCCTTCCGAGACAATTTTTGCATTGTCGGTGAAGGCTCTTAGAAAACTTATCAGAAGGCCGGGGGACTTCCGAACCTTCTGAGAAGGCCTTCTCCTTCTCACTTCCCTCCCTCGCTCGCCGCCGAAAAAAATACCCACGGCACCTCTCCGACTTGTAGGAGCCGCTCAACGATAGCTCGTCAAAATCCATCTGGCGGCGTCGCGATCATTGCGACCAGACTTGCAGTGTTAAGCAGCATGTCAGCCAAGGGCCGGTACCGAATCCAACCTCCCAGGAGCTGCAGCCTGACCCAGGGGCCGCGCCCCTAAGTTGCCCCGTTGTCCTAGCTCCCCCCCTCTGGCAAAAGAGTGAGAAGACGAGAACGACAACGACAGCTTTGCCCTCTTTGACCATGTCTTGGTCAGCCTAGGACGGACCAGAGACGCTAAACGAAGACCCAACGTAGACTAGTCGTCGCTACGTATTTCACTTCAGGTACTCCCAGGTGAAATGAACGGTAACCTGTAGTTCAACCTACCAGGAGTGCATTCTTCTCCTCATATGCCTCCTCCCCTTCCGCTCTCCTTGACCACCCCTGGTCTGCCCCTCCTTCCTCCCCTCACTTATCCCTCACCCCTCAACCCTCACGTTCCCTGATCCCTCTCCCTCCCTCATCGCTCCCCCTGCTTCCCCTGAATAGACGCTCGCGTTGATCCCACATCGAAAACCGAGCAAGCCGATAGCGAAGCAGACACCGCCCAACACCGCTTGGCCGAAGGCAGCCCGGAAGGGCGCAGCGGCGCGGCAACGACGCGTCAGCCGACGAAACCGAACCGACCGAACGCGGCAGACCACGATTCGGCCGAGCTGGATCGAACCGCGGGCACCCTTGGATCCCCCTCCCTCCCCCCTCGCCCCGCCTCCCCTCCCTCGTCCCCCCTCGCCTCGCTCCTCGGTCCTCCCCCCATGGAGGAGGCATCCAAAATGATGTCCGCATAGCTGGAATCGGAGGATCGTGCCGTGCCGATGCATCGACGATGCATCGCCAACGTCAGCGATGCGTCGGAGCCGCTGGCGGGGACACCTCGATCCCCCTTTCCCGCTCCCCCCCACTCTCGCCCCCCCTTCCCGCTGTCGGGCCCTCGCTCGTTCCCTCCTCGTCGCTTTGCAGCTTGTTTTGAGAGTAGTCAGGGCTTGACGCTATCCTGCGTCTGCATGAGAATCCTCGTCCCCCTCCCCTCCCCCCCTCCCCTACACCCCCCCCCCCAGCTGGGGATATAGCATGTTTCCTTCGGGTTTCGAGGGGCATATCCCCAGCTGGGGTGGTGGGATGGTGGGGATCGGGATCGGGATAGGATAGATTTGGCGGCGCGCACAAGGGGGTAGGGGGATGGGAAAAGGCTTCTTCGAAGGAGGCGACGGCTTAGAAGGCGCAGGCCTCACATTTACAGATACGGCCCGCGCCTTCTAAGAAGCAGGGGTGCTCCCAAGAAGCCTTCCCCCCTCCCCCTGCCCCTCCCGCCCCCTTCTGCGCGTGGCCGACGGGGATCGGTCGCACGTGACTGACCCTCCCCCTGGCGGCCGAGGGGAGCAGAGCAGACGGCCGCAAGGGGCGGGCGCGGCGCCCAGGCAGTGGCCGCCCCCAGGCGGGCCGCTGCGCCCGCCGAAGAGCAGAAGGCGCCTGCCTGGCGGACTGGCTGCGGGGCGCCCGGACTGGTCCCCCTTTTGCGTTGGCTGCTTGCCCTGGATATATGCACTGTTCGCGTGTGCCTTCCTCCCCCTCCTTCTCTCTCTTCTCCTCCTCCTCCTGCTCCTGCTCCTCCTCCTCCTCCTCCTCCTCCTCCTCTACTGCCTCCTCCTCCTCCTCCTCCTCTTCGCCTGTACCTCCTCCTCCTCCTCTTCGCCTGTACCTCCTCCTCCTCGTCCTGTTCCTGCCACTCCTCCTCCTCGACCCCATTGTCTTGTACGTATTTTGCCTGTCGCACCTCCAATCGTGTTGGCAGGGCGGGACGGGCGTTTTTCGCCTGAGACTTCCTCACCAGTTCTGACCCTGAAGTTTGGCATGTGCATCGATTTCAAGAATGGTGGGCTGGTGGTTTTCAAAATGTGGTTCTCGCCTTACCGCCGCGAACCTTCGTCTTCAAGCTTTGCAAGAACTTCAAAGATGGAGGGAAGTCCGTTTTCAGAATGTGGCTCTCGACTCAGCGCGGCGCACAGTCGTCTCAATAAGGTTTCAGCAGCTCCCAGGACGGAGGCCAGAACGATCTGTTTTCAATATGTGGCTTTCGTCATACTGCCGCGTAATTTCGTTCTACAAGATCGAAGCATGTTCAAATATATAACGCGCCTGGTTTCCAAAATGTGGCTCTCGCCTTAGCATCGCGCACATGTTGCCTAAACTATTGCGACAGCTTCAAGGATTCGTACGGTTGATGCCCTGGGAATGGTGTTCTGGTACATTTTCGGATTGCCATGACGCAACAGTCAAAACTACCTTTGGTGCTGGAGTCCCAAAAATGGTAGTTCGGCACTAGTCCACGACTGTCCGGACGCAAAACTCACGCTGACTCTCGCGGCGATGGACTCCCAACAACGGTGTTTTGGCAGGTGGAAGTTTCTCACACGGTTGTTATCAAATGGAACACTCCCTGCGAAGAGAACAAATTCTTCAAGGTACCTACGTATGAGGAGAGACCTTGAGCGGAGGGTTGTTTGCAATATCGCTGATGTGGTTCAGGTTGACACTGGTCCTCCTTCTCCTCCACCTCCTCTTCCTCTTCGCCCCCTCCCTCTTCCTGAATTTCCTCCTCTTCCTCATCCCCCCATCTTCTTCGACCCCATACAATATCTTCAACCTTCTGCTTCTCCTCCGCCTGCTCCTTCGCACCCTGCGTTGCCTCCTCCTATTCCTCCTCCTCCTTCTCCTCCTCCTCTTCCTCCTCCTCCTCCTCCTCCTCCTTCTCCTCCTCTTCCTCCTCCTCCTCCTCCATCCTCCCACCCCTCATCTTATTCCGCCTCCTCCTCCTCATTCCACTCCTCGACACAGCCGAAGCGAAGCGGGTCTGTCACGCTTGCCACTTGCGCCCCTGCTTGAACAAGGGTGGGTGGCATTCCGAGCCACTCTCGCCACCGCCCCCGAACAGAGGCGGGTGGCCTCCGACTCCCCTCCTCCTTCTCCTCCTCCTCCTCTTCCCACGTATCCTCTTCCTCCCACTTATCCTCCTCCTCTTCCTCCTCCTCCTCCTCCTCCTCCTCCTCCTCATCCTCCTCCTCCTCCTCCTCCCCTCATTATCCCTCTGCCTTGGTGGGATAGGCGCGCTAGCCGGCTAAGCGGCTAGACGCACGTCAACATGAAGGGCCAGACATGTCGGGCCGGCCAGATCAGCCATTGTCTTGGCTACGGCTAAGCCAATGGCCCGAGGGGGCGTTTACCCAGGGGGCAAAAGCGGGTGGAGATTCCTTATCCATCTCCAACTCCTCCTCTTTCTCCTCCTCCTCCTCCACCTCCTCATCCTCCTGCTCCTCTTCCTCCTCCTCCCCCTCCCCCTCCCCTCTCACCCTTCCCACTCCCCTCCTCCTCCTCCTCCTCCTCCTCCTCCTCCTCCTCCTCCTGATCATCACCAGCACCTTCAGCATCATCAGCATCATCAGCATCATCAGCATCATCAGCATCACCATCATCATCATCATCATCATCATCATCATCATCATCATCATCATCATCATCATCATCATCACCATCACCATCATGATCATCATCATCATGATCAGCATCGTCATGATCATCGACATCATCAGCAGCATCAGCAGCAGCAGCATCATCAGCATCATCAGCAACAGCCTCAGCCTCAGCCTCAACCTCAGCCTCAGCCTCAGCATCAGCATCAGCATCAGCATCATCATCATCATCATCATCATCAGCATCATCATCATCATCATCATCATCATCATTATCATCATCATCATCATCATCATCATCATCATCATCATCATCATCATCATCATCATCATCATCTCCATCATCATCACTGTCATACTCGCCATCCGTAGCATAAGCATCCGCATCCGCATCCGCACCAGCATCAACACCACCATCTTCATCAGCAGCATCATCAGCAGCATCAGCATCAGCATCAGCATCAAAATCACCATCATCACCATCATCAGCATCGTCGTCATAATCAGCATCATCATCAACATCATCAGTATCATCGTCGTTGACATCGTCGTCATCAGCATCGTCGTCATCATCATCATCACCATCAGCATCAGCAGTCTCAGCATCAGCAACATCATTATCAGCACCACCACCATTATCATGCTCATCAACATCAACATCACCATCGCCATGATCACCATCACCACCACCATCATCATCATCACCACCGTCACCACAAGCAACACCATCATCATCATCATCACCATCATCATCGACATCATCAGCAGCATCAGCAACAACACCATCATCATTATCATCATCGTCATCATCACCATCATCATAGTCATAATGCCAATCGTTATTATCATCATCAGCATCAACATCAACACCATCATCAGCACCATCATATATTCATCATTTACTCGCCCCGCTCCTCCACATCCACAACATCCTCCTCCTCCTCCTCCTCCTCCTCCTCCTCCTCCTCCACCACCCTCCTCATGCCTCCTCGTCTACATTCCTCTTGCATTTCCTTCGAGGGGCTGAGAACTGCGCAAATGTCGCCACTTCCGTGGACTCAGATACCTTCGAGAGCTCGCGGCTCGCTCGGAGGCTGCGGACTGCGCAGCTGTCGCCACTTTCGTGGGCTCCTGGGAAATCCGGCGGGGTGGGTGGTCACGCAATCCCTGTGAAACGGGGGCTGCGAACTGCGCAACCTTCGCCACTTCCGCGGGCTACCCTGAGGCCCAGCGGAGTGGGTGTAGTCATGCAGATCCCTGCGAAACCTCGCGGTTCCCTGGGGGCCTGCGATCTGTGTAACTGTTGCCACTCTCGTGGGCTCCTGGGAGTTCCAACGGGGTGGGCAGTCACGCAAATCCTTGCGAGACTTGGACTGCTCGCCCTGGCGAACGCCAGCGGACCCGGCCGCGCGCCTCTGGATTTTCAGTGCTCGCAGGGAGAACGGCAGGAAACAGTCCATCGAGACGGTGCACGAGCACGGCCTTGCTAGGATTCTTGCAGGACTGAGGTGAGGGGAGCCGCCAGCGGATCCTAGGCGAGCGCTCACGTTGGGTGCTGCTTTGACAGCGCCGTCGGCGATGCTTTCAACGGGCGACGACCAATCGAATATGAAAAGGCGCGCGCCCACATGGCGCGTGGCAGCGTCCGGCATGTAGCGCACGGCGCTTTTGCATCACAGACTAGCGTCACGTAACGCATGGTTCTGTCCTCCGCAGTCCACTTCCCCTCCGCCTCCTCAGGGTCCTGTCGTCCGCAGCAGCAGCAAGACCGAGCAACGTACAGTCAGGGACATTTGCTTAGCGTGTCGCAGCGGCGGCCCCGGCGACACGCCATGCCTTGCGAGCGGATAGCGTGTCTTTCCGCTCCGCGGGGTGGGAGGTCGGTAAACGCTCGGGACGTTGGTGCTGGGGGGCCAGGATGTGGATAGCGTGTCGCACTGAAGCGCGGTGGGCCAAAACCGGCGGAGCGACACGCTACGCCAGAGTTCCCGACCGTAGTTCGTGACGCTGTTATTCCCAACAGTCTGTCTTCCCCTTCCTTCTCCATGTTCCTCGTCCCCCCGCCCCTCTTCCTCGTCCTCCTCCTCCACTTCTGTCCCCCGGTTGTGTTTGCCATCGCCGTCCCTTTCGCGGTCTGCGCTGCGCAGGTGTGCGACGCGCGTGGCCCGACATTGCTTGGCGAAGCATTCCAGAATGCTGCATATCGCGCAGTGTGTTTTTGTCGTATGGCACGCTCATACAAGCAGCGCCCCCGCGTGGAGAAGGCGTTGGGTACGTCTCGTTTTTTTGTTAAGAGATATCAAGATCATGGACATCAAGCTGACAAAGGGGACGTCGCAAAAATATTGGCTCGACACACAGGTTTTACCAATCTGATCCTCCTCCTTCTCCTCCTCCCTCTCTTCCTCCTCCTCCGTCTCTGCCGCATGCCCCCCCCCCCTACTACACTCTCGTCCTCCTCCTCCTCCTCCTCCTGCTCCTCCCTTCATCCTCTTGTGCCTCCATCCTCCTCTTCTTCACCACGCCCCTAACTATCCTCCTCCTTCTCCTCCCCCTCCACCTCCTCCATGGCAGAAGGGTCAGCACCCGACCGCGGTGAACCTTCCTTCTACACAATGGAGGTAGGACCCGAGAACCTCTGTTTATCCGGTTTATGTTTCATGTCCTGTTATGGCTCAACAAGCGGCTTCGGCTACCGACCCCATCCTGAACTGATCCCCCGCGTTGCCCATTCGGGCCGCCCCAGACAGGCGCCGTCCTGCTTGCTGCTTCTCGCTCCAATGCCGATCCCCTGGGGCCCCGTCCCGAGGATTCCTGGCATCGTAGGTAACGCGTGTGCAGCGCAAGCGAAAGAGTCCTACTTCGGCTCCATGCTGCGGCTTCGACGCTCAACTCCCACCACTCCTCCACACCCCCATCCATGGCGCGAGGAGCACGCCAGGGGCGACGCCAGAGCCAGACGCGCCGCCAGAGGGGGTCCCGCCGCCGACCCGGAGACTCCTTCGGGAACCTCGGACGGTGTGTGCCCATGCCGGCGTTTCCTCTCCAACGTCGGCGACTCACGCAAGCCGTCCCTGGCACCTGGGGGAACGTCTTGGCACTATTTTCGAGTAACGGTCGTTGCCCGGGGGTGGGGGGGGGGCGAATGACCGTAACGCTTTTGCGGGGTGGGGCACGTCGTGGCGGTGGTGCGGTCCGATCGCCATCAGAAGCGCGCGAGCACCAGCATGTGGGGGAGGGTCCAAGGCCTCCCCTCGCCCACGCATGATCGCCACCGTTGCCGAGGGCATGGGGGGGGCGCCACACGGTACCAGCACACATCCCCCGCACCAGCCGTCCCCGGGCAGCGGTCGGGGGATGGGGGGGGGCGCCTTCTGTTCGAAAACAACTCAAAGGAAATTGTGCGTCGTCCCCATGGTGTCCCACAGCGGGCCCAATCGCAGGCAAAGTTGACGTAGTGCATCTCTCTCGCATGCCGCGGTTGGGCGCAATGTGGGAACTAGTGGGCGCCAAGTGAACGCTACTCGCGGCTACTCCATGATATTCGGCGCAAGCAACCGAGATCCTTTTTCAGTGCAAGCCGAATTATATGTTCCGTGACTCTATCGACTCCCCAATGTTTGCGACCCCCACAAGCCGCCCACTGGGAGCAGTCGGATCTGGGGGCGGATGTCGTCCGGCGGCAAGCAAGCAAGAGCTCGTGCACGTCAGAGGCACCTTGACCATATAGTGGAACGGAGATGGTTGGGTGAACGAGCGAGCGCACGAGCATGTGAGCGGAAGAGGACCAGGACGAGAAGGAGGGGGCGACCAAAAAACAAAGGACAAAGACGGTTGGGAACGACTCCGAGCAAGCAGTAAAACTGTCCTGTAGAGCATCTAGGTTCCTCCGTGGTATCATGTCCGAAGGGGCCTTGTTAGAGGACCTACTCAGGAGGACCTAGATGGCCTAAACGGACAAGGCGATCCAGGCTCCATTACCAGGGGCGTTCCCTGTCTGGCACCAGGTGGTGCGGAGTCTATGGATAGGCAGCGGCGTGTCCACGGCTCAGAGGGGGACGGCGACACGGACGACCACTCGAAGGGAGGGGGAGAAGAGAAGCAGGCGCGAGGACGACGAAGAGAAGGACCAGGAGGAGGAGGACGAGGAGGAGAAGGGGCGAGAGCCTGTGTCGTCCAGCGGCGTCAGCGTGAAGGCGCTGCGCTGCCGCGGCGGGAAGGCCAGCACCTCGGACGAGGGGCCATGCGCGGCCCGGCTCGGCGGACCGCGCCGAGCGAGGACGGGCGGACGCACAGGGCGCGACCGCACCGAGCGACCTCGCGAGACCGCGCGGCAGCCAGCCCGGGGACCCGGAGGCCAGTGGCGGGCTACGCGGCTGCCAGAACTCGGCGGCGAGCCGGGGGGGGGAAGTGAGAATGGAAGAAGAGAGCACGCCGTAAGCATCATCAACTTTTGGCGCTCCGAGCGGACTTCTTGGATCTGCGGTGGACCCCCTTCCCCGGCGCGCGGAGCGTGCCAGGGGCGGCGCCGGAGGCGCCGCCGGGGGGGCCCAGCGCGGATCCAAGAAATCCGCGCGAAGCGCCACAAATTAATCTTGATGGCGTTGTTCCTTCTCCGAAAGCATGGGCGGGCCTTCTCAGAAGGCTCGGAAGGCCCCCAGCCTTCTGAAAAGTTCTCTAAGCCTCCCCCGAAGGCGCAGAGAAGAACTTCTCAAAGGCGCCAGGAGCCCCGCCGCCTTCTGAGAAGGCCTTCTCCGTCTCACTTCCCCCCTCGCTTGCCGCCGAAGAAGTGTGCAGTGAAATGTGGCTGTGCCTGGAACGCTCCGGCGTCCATCGTACTCTGCCTCGATATTTTTGTGAGATATGTGAGTCACGCCACGACATGCATCAGGTGCGGACGGGCGCGCGGACGCTCCCGCTCTGAACATGTGTCCATGCTCAGCCCGAGGCGAGGAATGAGGGAGTCGGGCAAGTGGCGGGGTCTCCCAAATCAGGTATGTGGTCCAATCGAGCCACATCAGCGATACATCGGCGATGCGGCGTGATCCTGAATCCCACTTTCTCGATACCATTTGGGAGGCCTCGAAAGAGGCTGAGGTGAGGCGAGAGAACGGGGGAGAGGTAAAGGGGGATGGCGGAGGGAGGAGGAGCAGGAAAAGAGATTATGGTGGAGCGCTGGTGCCCTTCAAGATACGCATCACGACATGGTTTTTCACTCAATTAATCCCGGCAACGGTCGTCACACCAGGTGGGGTGGATGGCTCAAGTAGTTAACGGTAACGCTTTAGCGGGGTGGGGAACGTCAGGGCGGGGGTGCGCTGTATCGCCAAAATGGGCGCGCGCGCGCACCGGCGTGTGGGGGGGTCAGGCCCCCCCCATCAAGTCAGGGCACATCGCAGCCCAGAAGGCCAAGGAAGTCTCAATCGAAACGGGCCTGAGCACCTCGCGAACCGCTTCTTGAAATCAAGAGTTGTGAGGACATCTTAGGCGAAACGCGCCAGAGCACCTCAGCTCAGGGCATCTCGGGGCTCAGGGTTCTAGGCGTGTCTAATGGAAGCGGGCCTGAACACCTCGCGAACCACATCTTCGAACACAGAAAGGCGAGGAAGTCTCAGGCGCAACGGGCCAAAGCACCTCAAGTCAGGGCGTCTGGGGGGCCGGGTTTCCCTAGGATGTCTCAAGCGAAACGGGCCTGAGCACCTCGAGAACCGCATCTTGGAACGCAGACGTGCGGGGAAGTCCCAGGCGAAACGGGCGAGATCACCTTAGGGGTCGACTATCGGGGCCCAGAGTTCCAAAGATGTTTCAAGCGAAATCGGCCAGAACACTTGGATAACCGCATTCTTCTTTCCAAGTCCAACTCAGGAACATATTGCTCCGCCCGAACACAATGGCTTTCGCTAGGGGAATCGCGTATGCTGCTTCAGCATGTTGCTCACCTTAGTGTCTCGTACCTTGCTCGGACTAGTCAACTCACATTGGTGCAAACTGTGCAAAACTCATGCCCCCCTATGCGCTGTCTCTCATTCGGCGATCCATTTCCTCCGCCTCGTCTGCCCTTTTCTTCTCTTTCCGAACCTCGTCTCGGAGCTCGCGGTTGGTGCTCTCCATGACATCTGCGTAGCGTCCAACCATCCAAAAGCAGCCCCTCCCATGATTGGAAGACTCCCGCTTTGCAGAATCACGTTGCCCAACATTCCACCGACAGTGGCGCCGCTCAGGCCCTTGGGATTGTGCTCCACAAAGCCGGTCATGCCCTTGTCCAGAAACAACTTCTTCCTGTGGCGCCTGTGTTCGGCGAAGACTGGCTGCGCAAATACGTCGTAAGACTTCTTGAAATGGGGCTTCGCTCCGAAGGCCAAACCGATGAGAGCCGTGCAGCAGAGCCCCAAGACAGGAAGGGCGCCGAGACCTGCAATGCCAGCCCCATACGCTATGTTCCCATCCACTGCTTGGCCTAAGACAGCAGCTCCGATGTACTCTGCCGCCGCCAAGACACCTGCAACGTCAGGGTGCTCGTCGTAGCAGACTTGAGCCACGGAAGTCGCAGCCGAGGCAAGAACCAATACCCTGCCGGCTTTGTCCAACCTTTTTGATAGCCAATCGACGCAAACATTCGTGCGATCCGAAACCTCTATAGCTTCCATGTAGGCATCCGCTGCCAGGACTTCCGTCAAGTCACCGAAATGTATTTCCTTGTCACCCGTGATCTTGCTAGGGTAGTGGTCGAGCAACTCCGTCACAGATTTACACTGCTCCTTTAGAGTCTCGGAGGTCGCCTTGCACATGCTTGATAAGCTCTTCCGAGAGAGCTCCATGGCAGTATTCCTGGAGTTCACAGCATATTCGACCAACTGGCGCAATTATTTTGAGCTCGTTGCGACGCGTGCCGTTTGAACATCTCCGCGGACGTACTCTTCAGCGTTGCGATGTATGTGTCGCGCGCACTGCTGCCTTTGATGAGATTCAGCTCGAACGAGAGGTACGCTGACTTGCAATCTTCGATGTGCTCCTCAACACTCGCGCGTAGCTCTTCCAGTGCAGCGCGCGTCGTCGACGCTGCGACAGCGATTACCCGTCAACTGCCACCGCTGGCAACGCGCTTGCCATAGCGGCTTGAGCCAGCATCGCTTGGCTTGAGCCAGAATGGCTGCGGCTGGGAGAACCGCATCTTGGGGCGCAGAATTGCGAGGATGTCCCAGGCGAAACGGGCCAGATCATCTCGCGTCAATGCATCACAGAGCACAGGAATCCAAGGATGTCTCAGGCAGGTGAAACGGGCCTCCGCCACTCTTCCCGCTCCTCCCGCTCCTCATTTCTTTCATCTCCTCCTCCTCCTCCTCTTCCTCCTCCTCCTCCTCCTCCTCCTCCTCCTCCTCCTCCTCTGCCCCCCCTCCCCCTCCTCCTCCTCCTCCTCCTCCTCCTCCTCCTCCTCGTCCTCCTCCTCCTCTTCCTCTACCTTTCCCTGGATCCTCTTTGCCAGCATGTCGCTGGAGACGCAAGTCGCACACGCCTGCTCCCTCCTCCTCCCCCTCCTCATCCTCCTCCTCCTCCTTGTCCTCCTCCATCTCTTCCTCCCCCTCTTCTCCCCAGTGCGTTTGACCCGAGCCCGCTCGGCTGGGACGCGAATCGGAGAAATTTGGGCTGCTCTGATTTTGCCAGATTCTGAGGATGGCTCAAGCGAAACGGGCCTGAACACCTCGCGACCAACATCTAACACCTTGAATTGTGAGGATGCCTCAAGCGAAACGGAACAGGGCATCTCAAATCAGGGCATCTTGGAGCCCAAGGATCCAAGGATGTCTCAATCGAAACGGGCCTGAGCACCTCGCGAATCGCGTCCTGGAACCGAGAGTGGTGAGGACGTCTCAAGCGAAACGCGCCAGAGCACCTCAAGTCTGGGCATCTCGGAGACCAGGGTTCCAGGCATGTGTCAATGCAAGACGTGCACCATAATTTGCAAAGCGTTACGCCATGTGTGCATCACAAGCTGCGCCATGGGTTGCGCCATCGGTTGGTGCACCACCATCTTACCCCCGCCAGCTCTCGGCTGGCACGCGCCAGTCTGCTTTGGATACAGTTCGCCTGATTCCCCGAACAGCTGCGCTGACTGGGGTCTTGTTCGGCTGTGCTGTGCTGCTGGCTGTGGGCGACGATACCTTCGCGCTCACTGCTACCTTCGCCACCTTTCAGAACATAGTTTCGCATTAGACATCCTCGCAACTCTGACCTCTCAACTGCTGTGACTTGAGGTAGTCTGGCCAGTCTCGCCTAAGATACCCTTGCAACTCTGGGCTCCAATTTGACCTTTCCCGAGATGGTCTGGTCCGTTTTGCCTGAGATATCCTCCCAACTCTGGGCTAGGAGATGCCGTGACCTGATGTGGTCTGGCCCCTCTCGCCTGAGGTATCCTCGCAACTCTGAGGTTAGAGATGCCCTGACCTGAGGTGGTCTGGCCTGTTTCGCCTGACACATCCTCTCTACTCTGGGCTAGGATATTCCGTAACCTCAGGAGATCCGGCCCCATTCGCCTGAGGCATCCTCGCAACTCTGAGCCCAAATATGCCCTGACCTGAGGTGGTCTGGCCAATTTCGCCTGAACATCCTCCCAATTTTGGGCTCCGAGATGCCGTGACCTGAGTGGTCCGGCCAGTCTCGCCCGAGACGTCCTCGCAACGCTGGGCTCAGAGATGCCCTGACCTGGAGTTGTCTGACCAATTGCGCCTGAGACATCCTTGTAACTTCGAGCTCTGAGATGCTGTGACCTGAGGCGGTCCAGCCCGTCTCGCCTGGGACATTCTTGCAACTCTGGGCTGAGAGATGGCGTTACATGACGTGGTCTGGCCCTTTTCGCCTGAGACATCCTCGCCAATTGGGGCTTGTTCGAGATGCCGTGACCTTAGGTGGTCCAGTCAACTTCGCCTGAGATATCTTCACCACTCGGGGCTCCCAAATCCCGCACGCGAGGTTGTCCAGCCAATTGCGCCGGAGACATCCTCGCGCCATCCAGCACCTCCTCGCGACTCTGGGCTTGGAGACCTGAAGAGGTCTGGCTCGTCCCGCCTGCGGCATGCTCGCAACTCTGAGCTCCGAGGTTCCGCATGTGGGTTGGTCTTAGGTCGGGCCTGTCCCCCTACAGGCCGATTTTCGATATAATATTAAAAAATAGAAAATAAGACAAAACAGAATTGACAACCATTTTCTTAAATTGACCAATCTTGTTTTATTAAACAATTTTTGAATATTCCTCCTGTAGAGGGACAGGCCCGATTTAAGGCTGGTCTGGCGCCAGAGACATTCTCCCAACTCTGGGCTCCGAGATGCCGCCCGTGGGGTGGTCCACCCAAGTTCGCCTGAGACATCCTCGCAATTCTGGGCTCCCAGATGCCGCGCCGGAGGTGCTTCCGCGTCGCCACCGTCGTCGTCATCGCCGCCGCCGCTGTCGCCGTCGTCGCCATCGCCGTCGCGTTCGCCGCCGCCGCCGTCGCCAGCGCCTCCGCTGCCGCTTGCGTCGTTGTCGCCGCCATCATTGCCACTGCCGCTGCCGTCTTTGCCGCCGTCGTCGCCAACGCCGCCAGCGCCGCCGCCATTATCATCGTCCTCGTTGCCATCGCCACCGCTGTCTTGGTCGTCGCCGCCGCCCAAACAGACGTCGTCGCGGAAGGCCGCTGCCGCCGCTGCCGCTGCCACTGCAGCCTCCATCGTCGCCGTTGCCACCGACACCACCCTCGCCGCCGTCGTCGTCGCCATTATCCTGGATCGGCATGGTCGTCGTCGCCGGCGCGCTGGCTCCGCAACGAGCCGCCGGTGTTATCGTCGTCGTCGTCGTTGGGGTCGTCGCCGCAGGCGCCGCCGTGGCTGTGTGATCGTCGTTGCCGCCGTCGCCGCCGCCGCTTCCGACGCCACCGTCGTCGCCGCGTCCTCCACCCCACCCCCGTCCTCGTCGTCGTCAGCTCCATTTTTCATCCTCGTTACCTTCGGCTGGTCTCCTCTCCCCCATACCCCCCGCCCCGTCGCCGGATCCCACACGGGGCCCACACAGGGTCTACATAGGGTCCGACGCTCACCAGCGCCCTCTCGTCCCGCCCTCCTGCCGTCCGCCCTCCTTCCGTTTTCCCCCCCCCCCCCCCCTGCTTCCTTCTCATCTTCCTCCTCCTGCAACACGGCTGTCATTCCCCGAATGCTCTTTCTTGCCATTACTGTCCTCCTCATCCCCCGCCTCGCCCCCCCCCCCATCTTCTCCCAACACGCACACACAGACACAAACAGGCACACACCGGCACACACACATGCACACTAAGACACACGTTCCTCATGGTCCTGCCCGGACGCCGCCAGGGCGACGCGAGCGCAGCCCAGCTCCAGGTTTCTGGCACCTCGCTCGCCCGTCCGGGAGGCTTCTGCGTGCTAGGCGTGGCCAAACGTCAAGGCAGGCTCCTGCCTCGACGCGGACAGCACTGCGGCCGCACGGCACAGTCGAGAGCGAGGCCGAGCGCACCGCCTCTGCGGCACGCTCGGGCCCCACTCGCCTCAAGCGCACAGGCGCCACCTCCCGCGAGACACGAGACCGGGAGATGGCAAAAGCACGCTTCACTCACTCAAGCTTTTTTTTGTGAAAAGACCACCTTTGCCTTTGCCACCGCCTTTCGCACTGTCAGAACCAAAGGCAATCTTGGCAACTTTATTGGCGGCCTTGCTCCGCGGACCGTGATCGAAGTCAAGCTCGATGCCCATCCCGCGGAACAACTGGGCCTCGCGGGCCTGAGTGAAGAGCGTCTCAACATCTCGGCACGACGGAATAGAGAAAATCCACTTAGTCATGGCTACGTCGTCCTGGTCGTCCTCGCCGCTTTGGTTGTACTCTATCTTGAAGCATCTCGATGCCCTGAACTTCGGGGGCAGGCCAGGGGCCTACCAAGATGGCCGAAATTGGCTCGAAGCTGGCCCAAGACAGCCAAAATCCCTCCAATAGGGCCTCCAGGAAGGCCAGGAAAGTCCAAAAGCACACACACAAACACACACACACACACCCATATATACGTAGGGTTTGAAGGATTGTGGCATTTGCTTCTTTTCGGCCTGCGACGGCCCGATACGGCCCACGAGCCCCCAAAGATCGCCCAAAGATCGCCCCAGATGCTTCCAAGATGGCCCCAGAACGGCAAAAGAAGCCCCCAAGACGGCCGCAAAAGGCCCCCAAGACGGCCCAGGAGGCCACCAAGACGCTCAAGATGGCCTCCAAGACGGCCCTGGAGCATTCCAAGAATGCCCCCAGTCGGCTCAGAGAGGCCCCCCAAACGGCTTCCGACGGCGTCGGACGGGCCAGGGGCCCACCAAGACGGCCTAAGATGGCACTGAGATGGCCCAAGACGGCCCAAGAGGCCTCCAAGAGGGCCTCCAGGAAGGCCCGAAAAAACCCAAACCATTGGTTTCCCATGAGTTGTTGAAGAATTGTGGCTTTTGCTTTCTGGCGGCCTTCCGACGGCCCGAGGCGGCCCAAGTGCCACCAAAGATCGCCCAAGAGGTCCAAGACGGCCCCCAAAGGCCCCCAATACGGCCCAGGAGGCCACCAAGACGCTCAAGATGGCCTCCAAGACGGCCCAAGAGCCCTCAAGACGTCCTCCAAGAAGGCCCGAAAGGGTCTAAATGGCCTCCAAGCAGCCTTGATGACCTTAAGATGCCCACGTGTTCCCCGAAGGCTTTCCAAACCGCTTCGGGGAACACATGGTCCGATCGCTTGGCAGGTATGGCCTCAACGTTCGGCCACATAGGCGCTTCCAAAAAAGCAGGGGGCGGCGGTGATTCGCCATAGGCGTCTTCGATAAATACACATCCGCCGGCCCCCTTGCGGGGCCACCAGGCTGTAGGGCGAAAGTTTGCTCTTCCCTGCGCCAATTTTAACTTCCAGTTTCCAATGTGATGGCTCGACTGTTAACTGTTGCTGCTAACTGTTGCTGAACGCGCGAAGGGGGATCCGATAGGTGTATTTTACCACGCCCCTCCGGGGTTCGCAGACTTCCCAGGGGGCCGTGGGACATGTAAAAATAAGCGGGCTCGCGCCCCTGAGGCCACAAACCCTCGCCAATTGCACGATAGTCGCGTCCCCGAGGCCAACAATTTGTTGTAAGTCATACAATATTCGCGTCCTCGAAGCCATATTCCTCTGTAAAGTACGCAATCTGCGCGTCCCCGAAGCCATACATCCTCGTAAATTGCATGGTGTTCGCGCTCTCGAGACCATGAACCCGTGCAAATTAATCAATCGTCGCGTGCCCGGGGCCTTTAACCATTTCAAATTAAGCGATGCTCGCGCATCCGAAGCCACACATCTTCGTAAATGATATAATCTTCGCGCCCCCCGAGGCTATACAACCTTTTAATTACACGATACTCGCGCCCCCGAGGCCACAAATCCTTGTAAATTACGCAATAGTCAGGTCCACAAACCCATACAACCGGTTAACTTATGCAATACTTGCGTCCTCAAAACCATAAGCCTTTTCTACATTACGCAATGCTCGCGTCCGCGAAGCCACGATTCTTTTGAATTCCAGCAAAATTGGCGTTGCCGAAGCAATGAACCCTTGTGAATTACGCAATGTTTTCGTTTCCGAACCCACACACACCAGCGAATTACGCAATAGTCCCATCCCCGAAACCACAAGTCATCATACATTACGCCATGGTTGCGCCCCCGAGCCCATACACCCTGAATAAATAACGCTGCGCTTGCGTCCCCAAACCCATAAATCCGAGTAAATTAAACAATCGTCGCGTCCCCGAGGCCATAACTGTTCGCAAATGACTCAAAGCTCGCGTCCCATAAGTCATACACCCTCGTGGATTATAACAAATAATTCGCGTCGCCGAAACCACGATTCCTCATAATTGACGCAATCTTCGCGCCCCCGAAGCCAAAAACCTTTTTGTGAATCATGCAATGGTCGTGTCATGGAGGCCATACGCCTTGGAAAATTATACAATCTGCGCGTCCCCGAAGCCACACCCCCTCGTAAATTACACGATGTTCGCACCCTCGAGACCATGAGTCCGTGCAAATTAATAAATCGTCGCGTGCCCGGGCATCCTAAGCAACACAGCTTCGTAAATTATGCAATGCTCGCGTCCCCGAAGCTATACAACCTTTTAAATTACACGATACTCGCGCACCCGAGGCCATAAATCTTTAAATCGTATACAATATTCACGTCCCCGAAACCATACAACCACGTAAAGTATGCAATCGTTGCGTCCTCGAAACCATAAGCCTGTCTACATTAAGCAATGCTCGCGTCCGCGAAGCCATGATTCTTTTGAATTCCAGCAAAATTGGCGTTCCCGAAGCAACGAACCCTTGTGAATTACGCAATGTTTTCGTTTCCGAACCCACACACGCACACCAGCGAACTACGCAATAGTCCCATCCCCGAAACCACAAGTCATCATACATTACGCCATGGTTGCGCCCCCGAGCCCATACACCCTGAATAAATAACGCTGCGCTTGCGTCCCCAAACCCATTAAATCCGAGTAAATTAAACAATCGTCGCGTCCCCGAGGCCATAACTGTTCGCAAATGACTCAAAGCTCGCGTCCCATAAGTCATACACCCTCGTAGATTATACACAACACTCGCGTAGCCGAAGTCACGACTCCTCATAATTGACGCAATCTTCGCGCCCCAGAGTCCACAAACCATTGTGCATTGCGCAACAGTTGCGTCCGCGAAACTATGCGTCCTTGCATACCACACAATACTCGCGTCGCCAGGGCCACAACACCCTTGTAAATTACAGCGCGCTCGTGCACCCGAGGCCGCAGTGCCTTACAAAAGACGCCGGTGAGCCCGAAAACCCCCATGTAGCCTCAAGTTGCCCCCGGTCTTTCCAAGAATGCGTCCACAACATGCGGGGGCAAGTGTAAAAATGCAGCACCGAGTTCAACAATATCATCCGAATCTAATTTTGTCATGGCGGATACTTATATCGTCATCGCATGATGTCCTCGCGACATGCAGGCCTCACGATTTACTTGTTGCATAACCCATTTTCCGAGAGAGGGGGCCGGCGACATGGGGCGACGCCCTGGACGGATATATACATGTATATATATATACATTGACAACTACAGACAAATTATCCCAGAGCGACCCTACCTAGGAATTGGAGCCCCGAGAAGTGCAATATTGGTAGTAACGGTAAACGCAGCAAAGCATAGCACAGCATAGCATATCATAGCATGGTATACTATGCTATGCCATGCTATGCTGCGCTATGTTATGCTATGCTATTATATGCTATGCTATGATGTGCGGCGCTATGCTATGCATCGCTATGCTATGCTATGATATGCTATGCTATGCTAGAGCTAAGCTAAGCTAAGCTAAGCTAGGCTAGGCTAAGCTAAGCAAGCTAAGCTAAGCTAAGCTTAGCTAAACTAAGGTAGGCTAGGCTAAGCAAAGTTAAGCTAAGCTAAGCTAAGGTTGGCTCAGCTAAGATGGGATTAGCAAAGCTAAACTAAGGGGACGTAACTGGGGGATCCGCGGGGCGGATCCTGGGGGAGCCGCCCGGGGCGATTTGCACTGCCCGGCCCTTGAAGCACAGAAAGCAAAAACCCTTCTAGGCAGAGCCTAGGTAGGGAACAAACAGACAGACATACAGACAGACGGACGGACGGACAGACTGACAGACCGACTGAGATATGCATGCACGTAGCTACCAAACGATGGCAGCCTGGCCGTAGAGCGCCAGCGCCTCAGATGCAGTTCGCGCGCAGTCTAGGCCGAACAGGCCGACGCTCGCCGCGGAAACATTGGCCGCACGCTCCACGCAGGCCCGCCGACAAGGGACGACTTTGGGAGCAGGCCAGTGGTCGCGGGGGAACGCCGCAGCATGCGCGGCGATGTGTTCCAGAGCGCGACGCGTGTCGCCAGCGAGCTGCCCATAGGAGACCAACAACGCTGAGCACGTCGCTGCCGTAGCGCGCGTCTGTAATGGCAGCGTCCGCAGCTTCGCTCCGGCTCGCCGCTGTTTGCCCGCGCCGCTGGGCGCGCGGGCAGCGAATGGAGACATCCAGGTACAGAGGCTGCGAGTCCAGCTCCTCAGGAGGAGTGTTTCTGCCCAGCCTGTGGCGAAGTGATGGGCGTTTTCTGCGACCACGCCCTGGTCTGCGCCTGCCGCGGCGACCGGACCAAACGCCACAACGCCCTGCGCAACCAGGCCTTCTTCGACGCCCTGGCCGCCGGCCACGCCGGGGCGGAGTTGGAGCGCCCGGGGCTGCTACCCGCGCTCCCCGCCGGGGAGGCCACCCCCGGGGGCGAGCAGGGCGGGCCCCAGGTGGACGACAACGGCCGCCGCCCTGCCGACGTCTACCTGCCGCGGTGGCGCAACGGCACGGCGGCCGCCTGGGACTTCGCCGCCACGTCAGGGTTGCGCGCCGATCTCCTCGCCGCGTCGGCCGCTTCGCCAAGCGCCAATCCCCACCAAGCCGCATCGCGCTGGGTTCGGGCGGCCACCCCGCCCAGGTCGCCGCCGTAGGGTCCGCAGCCTCGTCGCGGGCGGCTCTTCTCTCCCGGCCCCTGGTCCGGCCTGTCTGCTTGCGGCCGCTGCTTTCTCTCCTCCTTGTCCTCCTCCCCCTCCTCCCCCTCCCTTCGCTTCTGCTCGTTGCTTCTCTCCCTTTCCTTTCCTCCTGCTCCCTGCCTGCTGTCTCCGCCTGGCCCGTCTTCTGCCTGCCCGCCCGCCCCGCCGGCCCTGGCCTCCCGCCTGGGCGTTCGTCGTCGTCTGCCTGCTTCTCCCCTCCTCGTCCCCTTCCGCCGGACAGCACAGCCTGCCCGGAACCAGCGTGGCGGCATATACGGGCCTGACGCGTTTTTGTTTCACAGCTTTCGACGCGTGTACACACCCCAGGAAAGATCACGACCAACGCCGCCGACCGTAACGCGGATGAGCTCGGGCACAGGCCAACCGATGTCCTCCTCCGCGCGGCACTCGCGCAGCAGGCGCGCCAGAGCGGCGGCATGGGCTCGATGCGGCTGCATCAGCGAAAGCCTGTTCCTTGCGTGCCTCCTGCTCATCCGGCTCCGCCACCGCCGCCGTTGTCACCTTCGCCAGGATCGGTGGCCTCACCGCGACGATCGTCGTCGCCATCGTCCTCAAAATCGTCGTCGTCGCCGCTGCCGCCGTCGCACTCGCACTGGCTGCCGTCGCCACCGCCGCCGCCTTCCCCGTGATAGGCGTCGTCGCCGTCGCCGCCGCCGCAAGGGTTTTGATCGTCGCCGCCGTCATCGTGGCCATCGCCATCGCCGTTGCCGCCGTTGCCGTCGTCACCGTCGTTGCGGTCGCCCCCTTCACCGTCGCCCGCGCCCCGCCGCCGTCGCAGTCGTCGTTGTCGCGTCGTCATCGTACTCGTCGCTGTCGCCGCGTCCGTATTTGTCGCTGTCTTCACCGCCGCTGCTGCCACGGTGATCTGCGTCGTCGCCGTCGTCGTCACCGCCACCGGCGCCGGCGCCGCCGCTGCTAAGAACTCCACCAATGGAGCTCAACAATGCCACAACGACGACAAGATAAAGGAATGCCCCTCAATGCCCTGCCTGCTCCCTGCTGGCGCTCACCGCCGTCTTGGCCATCGCCAAGACAACTGCGAGTTCCCAGATGCCGCGCTAGAGATGGTCCGGCCCTGTTCGCCTGACGCGCCCTTGCAACTCTACGCTCCCAAATGCCTTGACCTGACTTGGTCCGGCTCGTTTCGCCTGAGACATCCTTGCAATTTTGGGTTGAGAGAGGCCCTGACCTGAAGTGTTTTGGTCTGGTCCGTTTTGGGTGAAAACATCCTTGCAACTCTGGGCTCAGAGATGCCCTAACATGAAGTGGCCTGGCCGGCGCGTCTTGCCTGAAACATACTCGCAACTCTGGGCTCAGAGATGCCCTGTCCTGAGGTGGTCCCGCCGATTTAGCACGAGACATCCTTGCATCTATGGGCTCCGAGATGCCAGGCAAGATGATCCAGCCAGTTTTGCTTGAGACGTCTTCGTAATTCGCTCAGAGATGCCGCGCGAGAGGTGGTCAAACCTATTTCGCCTGAGACATTCTCGCAACTCCGGGCTCGAAGATGCCGCGCGCGAGGTGGTCCGGGCAGTTCCGCCTGAGACATCCCCCTCCCAACTCGGGGCTTCAAGATGCTGCGCGCGAGGTGGTCCGGCCCATTGAGCCATAGACAGCTTCGCACCTCTGGGCACAGAGATGCCCTACCAACGGTGATCTGGTTCGTCTTGCCCGAGACATCCTCGCATACAGCCAATGTCGCTTGAAACATCCTCGCCACTCGGGGTTCGAAGATGCCGCGCGAGAGGTGGTCTGGCCAGTTGCGCCTGAGACATCCTCGCAACTCCAGGCTCGGAAATACCACCCGCGAGGTGGTTCCCTGAGACGACCTTCCAATTCCTGAATATCCTTGCAACTCTGGGTTCTGAGGTGCCCGAGCGTCGCGAACTGAACAACACGGCAGAGAAACGAGCGTAGCGCGTGCACGACGTGCGGACTTTGCAATGAAAATTGTTGACGCTACCGCGCCGCAGAATCATACCAAAAACGTAGCCAAAACCATTGGACACAACAATGATTTTGAGGATGCAGCCGGCGCTCGAGCCGGAAGCCGACGCACCTGGCGTCGATTTCACACCTCCTCTGAGTGATCGACTTCTTCGACTGCCTCACATGGCGCCGCCTCGCTGGCGGCCGGAGGCTGCACGGATAAGCCCGGCGCGGCCCTGCGGAAGCCCTGCAGCGCTGGCCCCGCGGCGCCGCTGGAGCTGCTGCTGCCGCCTCCCCCGCTGGGCCTCGCGAGAGAGGGCCGTCGGGCGCTGCTTGACAGGGGGGGTGCAGTCGGGCGTTTCTTACAGTAGGAGCTCGGCCACAAGAGACCTTCCACAAGAAACCTAACCCTGAGATCCCAGGACGTCCATTGATTTTTAGTGTGGGAACGTCACGGCTTCCATGGCAAAACCATCGAAACCCAAGAAACCCAGGGCACCCTGGAGGCGAGCAGGGTACTTCTTGGCATGGGCTCCCACTGTACCCCCATTGACGGAGGGGGAGAATCGTGCATCCTTCGTGTCCGTTTTGGGCTCCACGCGGGCCCCTGTAGGGCTCCTTGGAGGCACAAAGAGGTGCACCTGTTTTCCACCCCCCTATCTGTCGCCCAGCCCCCCCTCGATTACGCAATGTCCAAGGCAAGGTGGGGAGGGGGGGGGGCGAGGCGCTTTGGTGCAGGTGCCCGCGGGGGCAAGGCGCCGGAGGCCGTAGCTCCTAAAAACCCTGCAACATCGGGCACTGGACACCGGCCCGCATCATGCACCGCGTGGGTGCCGCAGGGTGGACCCGAATCGCCAAAAGACTGGGCCTTAAGAGGGAGTGCGTGCGGGGACAGCAAGCGACCACAACCACATTGAGGACACACCCTGGGTGACGTCCTGCGCATGCCAACAGCCGTCGGAACACCGAAGCCAGCTTAGTACGTGGTCGATGCGACTTCCCAGGACGGCCAAATCGACCACAACCACGACCCAAAATTGTAATGTCGAGGTCGGCAAGTTCTTCCCCGAAGGGCCCTGCCGAACAATCTATTTCGCCGTGCTTGTGGTTCTTTGCTGCACCCAGAATGCAAGGGTGCGGGGGGGGAAAAATTGGATTGCATCTCCGGTGGACCTTGTCTGCCCCGTCGCGCCCCTATCCGCGTCGGATTCGTGTCCAATCCGAGCCGACTTCATGTCGAATCCGCGTCGAATAGCACGCCAAATCCGCGTTCAGTCCGCATCGAACCCGCGTCGGGCCAAAGAGAACACGGTGGGGGCTTTGGTAAAGGAACCCTTAGATAAGGAATCCAGGGTCTGGAGGTCGGTGGAACTCAAATCGAAGCTTGGCCATGGAAATCACCGCCGCCCTCATCTGATAAGGAACACTCCAGGGTCTGCAGCCTCCTGGGCGCACTCCTTATCCAACGCCCCCACCGAAACCAATTCGGGGGACAGGCGAGAAGCTCCGAAGATGCGACGTGAGGAAGGCTGGGAACGCATGGCGCGGGAGCGCACACACACACACACACGCGCACACACATATATGTATATACATATATATATATACACATGTGTGTATGCGGGAGCGCCGCACACAGGTGCGCGCGGGGGCCCAAGTACTCTCGACGTCGGCGCTGTTCGCAGGGGCGGTAGCGGGGAAGAAACCAAGGGGCTGGGGCCCCTCTGGGGTCCCGAAGGGTTCAGGTCGACCGAGACATCGGTCCACGCCCATCTAATACACTAAGCTACGCGAGCCTTCGACAGCAGGACAGGGCACACTTTTTGCTGAGAGTCGAACGCTCGCGAGCCTGGCCCGAAGAATGTGCACCAGGCTAGGTGCGGTGGCACCTGCGGACGTAGCTTCATGGCCATGTCCCTGGATGCGGGTCGCGAGGAGGGGGAAACGCAGCCCAGCCCTGGGGCAGCCATGCTACAGAGTAAGAAAGACCGCTGGCTCGACGTGTAACAGCGTCGGTATCCTAGGCTGCTTCCAGCCACCAGGAAGCCGTCACACAGCCCCACCCTGTTGCGCGTCGGGCTGCACCAATAGGCCAACGGTCACGTGCATGAGTTCAAAATGCGTGCACAACGAGGTGCGCAACAGCAGAGGTTTGCGCTGGGTGGAACATGCGACGCCACTTGTGAGATTGAAGGCCCGACGGGCCTAGTTGCATGATAGTCGACTCCTGGCCATAAAACAAGAATGCCCATGCTGGAAATAAGCTGACAACTCTCTGTCGCTATATGGTTTTTAATGAACCACGCTGCCATCGCTAAACAACAAAAAGAGTCTGGGGAAGCCTGGGAAACGGCATACAACTCCTTCACGAAAACTTTATCACGATTTGTGGCCGCCGCAATCACCGCGGGCGCCTCCCAAACTTATATGGAAATTTGGTTCGAGGACGGACATCACGGATCGGAACAAGGGACCACAGTTTGTGGGAAACACCTGGTACGTCGGCTCGAGCGCTTCAAGTTAACACAAGACAGACAAGTGCAATATGATTCTCCCCCTTCCCAAAAAGAAATCGCGCGAGGCCGCGACTCCACAGCAATGTACCCCCTTCGCGTTGACAAGCCCATGACGCGCGTACAGCATCAGCCGAGCACCCAACCAAGACCAACTTCTCACAAACATGCAAGTTCATCAGAAATCACAGAGTCGTTCGCTATCCCCCTCCCTCTCCTCGCGAATGGTTTGACATGGCATGCCCTCAAGACGCCTCGAGAAAGGCCTGCGTGGAATCTGGAGACTTTCCCCTACCCATAGGTAGCGATTCAAGGGAGCTCTGATCGTCCCTTACCCCCAAGCCGGCCCCAGATGTTCGACGACCAGCCGTCGAATATCCAATTGGCCTGGCGAAGGACCCAACCATATGCAGTTGTGAGTAATGCTGGTGTGAGTACCGTCTTCGGTGGATCTCCCTATGGGGCCACGAACCGTTTGAGGGGTGTGCCGAAATGGGTGTGGGGGCGGCATGCGAACGTTGCCACTGGGGCCTTCGGTGGAGCTCCTTATGGGGCCACGAAACGTGTGAGGGGTGCACCGAAGTTGGTGTGGGGGCGGCATGCGAACGCAGCCACTGGGGCCTTCGGTGGAGCTCCCTGTGGGGCCACGAAACGTGTGAGGGGTGTGCCGAAATTGGTGTGGGGGCGGCATGCGAACGCAGCCACTGGGGCCTTCGGTGGAGCTCCCTATGGTGCCACGAAACGTGTGAGGGGTGTGCCGAAATGGGTGTGGGGGCGCATGCGAACCCAGTCACTGGGGCCTTCAATGGAAATCCCCATGGGGCCACGAAACGTGTGAGGGATGTGCCGAAATGGGTGTTGGGGAGGCATACGAACCAGGCCACTGGGGCCTTCGGTGGAGCTCCCTATGGGGCCACGAAACGTGTGAGGGGTGTGCCGAAATGGGTGGTGGGGAGGCATGCGGACCCTGCCACTGGGGCCTTCGGTGGAGCTCCCTATGGGGCCACGAAACGTGTGAGGGGTGTGCCGAAATGGGTGGTGGGAGGCATGCGGACCCTGCCACTGGGGCCTTCGGTGGGTCCCCATGGGGCCACGTGGGGCCTTGCCGGCATGGCCACTGGGGCCTTCGGTGGAGCTCCCTATGGGGCCACGAAACGTGTGAGGGGTGTGCCGAAATGGGTGGTGGGGAGGCATGCGGACCCTGCCACTGGGGCCTTCGGTGGAGCTCCCTATGGGGCCACGAAACGTGTGAGGGGTGTGCCGAAATGGGTGGTGGGGAGGCATGCGGACCCTGCCACTGGGGCCTTCGGTGGAGCTCCCTATGGGGCCACGAAACGTGTGAGGGGTGCGCCGAAATGGGTGGTGAGGAGGCATGCGGACCCTGCCACTGGGGCCTTCGGTGGAGCTCCCTATGGGGCCACGAAACGTGTGAGGGGTGTGCCGAAATGGGTGGTGGGGAGGCATGCGGACCCTGCCACTGGGGCCTTCGGTGGAGCTCCCTATGGGGCCACGAAACGTGTGAGGGGTGTGCCGAAATGGGTGGTGGGGAGGCATGCGGACCCTGCCACTGGGGCCTTCGGTGGAGCTCCCTGGGGCCACGAAACGTGTGAGGGGTGTGCCGAAATGGGTGGTGGGGAGGCATGCGGACCCTGCCACTGGGGCCTTCGGTGGAGCTCCCTATGGGGCCACGAAACGTGTGAGGGGTGTGCCGAAATGGGTGGTGGGGAGGCATGCGAACCCTGCCACTGGGGCCTTCGGTGGAGCTCCCTATGGGGCCACGAAACGTGTGAGGGGTGTGCCGAAATGGGTGGTGGGGAGGCATGCGACCCTGCCACTGGGGCCTTCGGTGGAGCTCCCTATGGGGCCACGAAACGTGTGAGGGGTGTGCCGAAATCGGTGGTGATGATGATGATGATGATGATGATGATGATGATGATGATGATGATGATGATGATGATGATGATGATGATGATGATGATGATGATGATGATGATGATGATGATGATGGGAAGAGGGAGGGGGGGGGGAGGAGGAGGAGGTGAGGAACGCGGGGCGCCGTCTCTTCAAAACGAGGACCCAGCACCACAGGATGGTTGGGAAAAAGCTCTGATGGCCAGTGGCGCCTGATGTCCTCTGCCTTAGGCGCAATAACCACACGATCCATATATAATGTTCGTGATTGATGATTCTCGCAATGGTTCTCAATAGTTGAAACACTACGCGCCGGGAATGCTCCAGATCCCACAATTATGGCCCGTAGAGTCAACATGCCATATATATATATATATATATATATATATGTGTGACTGCGTTGGCAAGGTGGTCGTGTTTTGTCCGAGACGTGACGCACTGCAGAAAGGCCTCTTTGCAATAGCGTAACATTGAAGCGGAGTCCGCAGAGCTGTGTACGGCGCTCGTGAATTTGAGCGCCTGCGCTCACGCTTACGTTTGGAATCGCGTATGTTGTGTTGCACGTCGGATTCAGTCATGGCTTTGTTTACAAATGCGCGTGCATGTAGAAAAGAACATCAGCAAGCTAGTTGTTCGCGCTTGGCGTGTAAAGGCAAGTCACTGGTAGTGAGCGAGAGCAAATGATGACGAATGTAATAATTATCAGTTTCTACTCTCTACCTTCTGCGCTTTGCGTTCTACTCTCGTCTCTCAGCGCACATTGTTCCATGCTCTACCCTGTGCCCTCTACTCACTCCCATTCCCTCTTTCGCCAATCCACACAACATCAACAATCGAAAACAAAGAATCTGCAACCAAGAGCCCTTGGATATTTCTTGCCCACGGAACTCGGCGCACACTCAGGGGAACGCTGGAACTCAAGAACTGGGCCGCCCACCGAGATCGACCAGAAACGATCGCGGCTTGGTAACCTCAACCAGAAAACCCGCCGAGCAAGATCAGCCAGACACGTTCGCCAACTCCTGACAACCTCCGCAAGGATCCTTGAATGCAAACACCGCTTGGGGAATCTCGAGAACCTGGACGCCTACGGAAATCGCCAAATCCTTACAACCGATGCAAGGACCCCTCCAGCGCAACGACAGGTTACATGGGAGGCCAGTCCACAAGAAACCTTCCACAAGAAACCCAACCATGGGACACCCCAGATGTCCACTGATTGTGGGTCTTGGCATCTATCTCCTGCGTAGATCTGGAATCCAGATCGCGAGTGCACAAACCAAGGTGAATGCGAATTGCGCTCGCCCGTTCCGAAACGTGTCTTGCCTCAGAGCAGATTGCGCCAGCTTGAGATGAAGGGCGGCTGAGACAGCGGGGCCTCGCCAGACTCTCGCACGCGAAGAGGTCCACTGAAAGCCATTGTTCCGGTCAGTTTATCAGCCGAAACGGGTCTCGGGCACTCTGCACTCGGACCTCCCATCATTGGTGCGAAATCCCACCCTTTCTGCTCAGCTTCACTGGTGCATCATCCCGCCCTCTCCCTTCATTGCTGCGTGGCTTCACTGGTGCAAACCAGCCCCCTCCCCCCTCCCTCGAAAAGTCCCCTCCCCACCTCTCCAGACATCGGCTCCCCCCTCCTACGAAACTCTCTTCCCCTCCCCTCTCAAACTGGCCCCCGCCCCCTCCCTCGAAAATGCCCCGCCCCTCCCTCTCTGGAGCTGCCCCCCCCCCCCCCTCTCCCTCGAACATCCCCACCCCCTCCCCTCCAGCACCGGACACCCCTCTCTGGCGAGAACCCCTCCCCTTCCGCCCCAACCCCTCCCAAAGTGCGAGGGGGCGTGGGCCCGAGCCCCCCTTCCACAAGGCTCAGGTTGGGCGTGCCCTCCTACAGGCGGATTCTGGACAAAAATTCAAAAAATAGCCCGGAAATAATCAAGCAATATGCAGAAGTACTACAAACATCGTCCCCAGACTATGTTCTGACTATTTTTGAATACTCCTCCTGTAGAGGGACTGAAATACAAGGCCTGACGGGGCCCTCAGGAAGATGACGAGACCCCATCTGAAACTTGACGCGACCTCCCGCTGCGAAGGCCGTCGGTCGTCGCCGTCGTCGTCGTTGTCGCCGTCGTCATCGTCCTCGTCATCGTCGTTGGCGTCCTCGTCCTTGTCGTTTGCCGACGCCAGGCATCGTCGCCGTCGCCGTCGTCGTCGGTGTCGCCGGCGTCGTCGTCGTCAACGTGGCCGTTGTTGTCAGTATTTGCCTCCGTCCCCCTCCCGGCTGCAGGGGGCATGCGCGGGGGCGTGTCCAGTGGCCTCCAGGGCATGAGCGCGGTCGTCCCGAGGCGGTTTCCTGTGGTTGTCCGGTGGCTGTCCTGTCGGTGTCTGCCTCGGTTGCCACGGATGCGGTCCTGTGGCTGTCCCGTGGCTGCCCCAGGGCTGTCCCGTGGTTGGCCCGTGATCGTCTCATGGTTGTCCTAAGTAAAATT